GGATGGATGGATGGATGGATGGATGGATGGATGGATGGATGGATGGACGGACGGACGGATGGACGGACGGATGGATAATAAATTATGCAAAGCATTTCAGAAACCTATGTATCAAATATGATACATACACTATATTGCCAAAAGTATTTGCTCACCCATCCAAATTATCGGAATCAGGTGTTCCAATCACTTCCATGGCCACAGGTGTATAAATTCAAGCACCTAGGCATGCAGACTGTTTTTACAAACATTTGTGAAAGAATGGGTCGCTCTCAGGAGCTCAGTGAATTCCAGCGTGGAACTGTGATAGGATGCCACCTGTGCAACAAATCCAGTCGTGAAATTTCCTCGCTCCTAAATATTCCACAGTCAACTGTCAGCTGTATTATAAGAAAATGGAAGTGTTTGGGAACGACAGCAACTCAGCCACGAAGTGGTAGGCCACGTAAACTGACGGAGCGGGGTCAGCGGATGCTGACGCGCATAGTGCGAAGAGGTCGCCAACTTTCTGCAGAGTCAATCACTACAGACCTCCAAACTTCATGTGGCCTTCAGATTAGCTCAAGAACAGTGCGCAGAGAGCTTCATGGAATGGGTTTCCATGGTCGAGCAGCTGCATCCAAGCCATACATCACCAAGTGCAATGCAAAGCGTCGGATGCGGTGGTGTAAAGCACGCCGCCACTGGACTCTAGAGCAGTGGAGACGCGTTCTCTGGAGTGACGAATCGCGCTTCTCCATCTGGCAATCTGATGGACGGGTCTGGGTTTGGCGGTTGCCAGGAGAACGGTACTTGTCTGACTGCATTGTGCCAAGTGTAAAGTTTGGTGGAGGGGGGATTATGGTGTGGGGTTGTTTTTCAGGAGCTGGGCTTGGCCCCTTAGTTCCAGTGAAAGGAACTCTGAATGCTTCAGCATACCAAGACATTTTGGACAATTCCATGCTCCCAACTTTGTGGGAACAGTTTGGAGCTGGCCCCTTCCTCTTCCAACATGACTGTGCACCAGTGCACAAAGCAAGGTCCATAAAGACATGGATGACAGAGTCTGGTGTGGATGAACTTGACTGGCCTGCACAGAGTCCTGACCTCAACCCGATAGAACACCTTTGGGATGAATTAGAGCGGAGACTGAGAGCCAGGCCTTCTCGTCCAACATCAGTGTGCGACCTCACAAATGCGCTTCTGGAAGAATGGTCAAAAATTCCCATAAACACACTCCTAAACCTTGTGGACAGCCTTCCCAGAAGAGTTGAAGCTGTTCTAGCTGCAAAGGGTGGACCGACGTCATATTGAACCCTATGGATTAGGAACGGGATGTCACTTAAGCTCATATGTGAGTCAAGGCAGGTGAGCAAATACTTTTGGCAATATAGTGTATGTCAGTATAGGGTTATGGAGCCTTTAAGCCCAAGGTTTCACTTGTCAGACATGCAATTGGTTATTGAGGATTCTCAAAGCAAATGTGTTTGAATTTATCTCCTACCACAGTTTATTTTATGAAAGCTTTTTAAATGTCTCTGTGTTCTGGAATGTCTTTAGTGGATGCTCTCCTTCTACCTGCCAAGTCCCATGAGAAAAAGGGTTCCAGGACACTTGCAGACACATCAGCTTAAAGAGTGATCAGCGTATCACACCTGCCAGGACAGCCATGCCAAGAATTTCTCGACTGAATGGAGCCCAGAAAGGGTACAACTCCGAAAAACTAATATCATATCACACAAGAAAAAAGAAACCTTCTTTTTCTGGGTGTAAAAGCCCCCCAAAAAATGTTAAGACATCCAACATGTGAATACTTTCCTTGCAGGAATCCATATGATGTCAGTGATTCACAGATCACCTGTGTGACTGTGTGGTAGAACAAAGTACAGACCGCAGCAGCAGGTCATGGCCTTATCCGTGCAAAAGGATAAAGGCTGATAAATTGAATACCTGCACTGGAGCCTTTGTCCTGAGTCAGCATTTCAGACCAGGATCCGTCTTTAGGTGCAGTGCTGCGGGTCAAGCCTAAACTGTCATTACCAGGTTACAGGAAAGAGTTTGTAATAATTGATTATGCAGTAACACTTAACCGCTGCATTAATGGCGGCACTTGCTTGGGACTCACTGCTTGGGTGGTATGTAGATACATGGTTAGGATACTAAATCAATCACTCCTGTGGTGCTGATAGCAGAGATACACTGTAGGCAATCACTGGGCAGCAGTTTTGCGTATAGGCTTATAATAACTATGAACACTGATCCACACTGATTTACTAACAACCATCCGTTAATTAACACTAGAAAACAATTACATCTGTACAAATTAAGGACGCTGAAATACAGTTTGAGTACACTAATGACGAGACAAGAATTTGGTTAGTTTAAATCTCACATCCATTCCCAGCTCACTAATTGTGTTTTGGGAAAAGCCTGAGCGAAGATTTCTTTGTTTGAGAGGGCAACACGGAGTAATAACAGATTATGCACAGGGAACAGTGTAAGACAATGGGACGCACATGTAAATAGGCCAGTGTGTAATTGGTTTAGCAGGTAAACATGGCATGTAACGGTAAAACGGGAATATTAAGGAGAACAAGAAAGGGCTTCTGCAACGGTTGTCTGATTGTGTTTTATGTGATTCCGATCAAATATCGTATTTTGCGGACAACAAACCACCTGCTCCTAAACAGTTATAGAGGTTTTGGTGTGCTAATGAACCCTTAATAACGCTCACTGGGTGGATGCTGAGCTCTGTGAGCGGAGCAGAATGTTACATAGCCTGGCAGACACGGTGACATCATCCCTTTCTATACCTTCTTTTCCCAAACACGCCCCCTACCTATGATGGAGTGGTCGTTGGGCTGTCCAGCATGCGCCTGGTTAGCTGAGGTAGACAATGGGGAATGGGGTGATTTGCTGCTGCGACATGCAGATATACTTCAATCAATCAGGTACAATAGAAATAATAAAACCATCCTCTCCTCCTTTTGCTACAGCCTGCTGTCTCCTAGCAACTCATTGTGATTATAATAAGCCAGTGGTCTACCTGGCACCCCACAGGCTCAGAGATGGGAATATAGGAACTGCTCCTGCACAAACCTCTTTGTGATGCTGAGAAACAGCCAGTGACAACGAGCTGTGAAGGAGGACACCAGTAAAAATAGCGGGGTTGTGTTTGAGTGTGAGTGGTGAAACATGGGGAAATTAAGTCTGCCTTTCACTGCATAATCATCCCAGGAGCTGGTAGCAAAGGTCTTGTTGATCGACGGGCCATTTAGATTATATAGCAGTATGGAGGAGCTGCTGGCATGTTGAGCAGCGGTGGTCAATCACTGTCATTCCCGTCACGTTCTCAGCCCTTCGCTACAGCCAGGCTGAATAACGCTAATCAGGAGCTTTGTCATAGCGAAAGGTCATTTAGGCCGGTGGGCGGGTGAGCACCATTGCTCCTTAACTTGGGACACGAGCACACGCAACATAGATCCGCTTTTATTCACAACCAAGCAGCTGCGCTCGAATCTCATCATCAAATTCAACCGTGGAGATTCGTTTTACGCACTCCCGAGAGCGCGTGCAATTCGCACACGCTCACTGCAACGCACCACAAAGGTGATCCACCGCTGCGGTGCATATGGGAATGCCATGAAATAATGTTACACATTTTTCTTGATTTTTTTTCTCTCCAGCACACACGCTCACTTCAACTGTGAGAGCTTTAAAAGCCTCCGAAGCTTCGCACCTTTTTCAGTGGTACCAACAGCCCAAAAATGAGAAAATGCAGTCTTACCAGTTTGAAAACTGAACGCCAAACTCAAGAGCAGCAGCCTCTGCATGGTTCAGCCGACCAATAAGTCCGTTATTGGCTCAAACCTCCGTGAGGACAGCATCAAAAAGCGGGAGTTCACTGGCTTTACAGTAATTACACAACAACTACAATCCTTGTGCGTCGACAGGCTCCTTTTGTCCCTGTAACATGGTTGGACCCACTTTCGTTTACACCATTTCAAAATTGTTTTAAATCTCTCTCTTCTTCGACAGTTCGTTTTCCATTCCACTCTGTGACACCAAGCTAGCTCCAATGAAACAATAAACATCCGGTCAGATTTTTCAAAATAAATTTGCAAAATAAATGTCTTTATTCGACAGGGGTCTTGCCATCCCTGTAAAATATAATGAAAACACAAACGATAAAAATGTGTATGTCTCCATTTAGTTCTTCGTTTTATATCTACACAAATGAATTCAAACTGATTTCAGGGCAGCTACAAATAAGGGTCATATAACATTCTGACTGTCTGGAGCTATGTTTTTCTGATATCAACCGGAGGCATAGAAAAATTATTATAATTATAATTAATTGGCGAATATATTATGGACAAAGAAACGATTGAATATAATGTATCTAGCATGACGCACGTTACTTCCGCTTCTGTCCTCGCTACCTCTGACTTGACGTCATATTCTCATTAGCAGCGCATTCCTCTCTTCCTCTCGCTCTCTCTCTCTGACGTCAACAAAAGCACATCAGTGCCCCCCTTTTCCTCTCCCTCTAGACTTTGTCAGGGCCAACACTGGCCAAAAAGGGGGAAAAGATTCTAGTGTTTTTTAAAAAACGGTTTATAAGCGCACAACCATGTCGACACATTTACTGTGGTTGGGACTGTCTGTATGACATAAGATAGCAGATCATTAGAGTTACTTAAACTTTCCCCTAACTTGGTTTCACATAATTATATTATTTTTCATGGCATGGTTGCTATTTTAAAAAATAAACAAACAAATAGCACGTCTTGTGTTTGTTTTCACATCTAGGCCTACTACTCAACTCTAATCTGAGTACAAAAAGGGTTTTTTGGATTGGTCTAACCGAATAATGCCTTTGATGTCAAAGTAACATAATAAAATTGTAGCAGAGAAAACAGGAAACAATTATTTTAAAAAAAGGAAGAGAGAAATACACAACAGAACAAAAGTAATACCCTTTCGCTTGGTGACGTCATCGTGATGACAAATTCTTTGCACAGAATAAATAGCAGAACTTGTCTTCAATACTGATATATCATGCTGACTGTTGTGATGGTCCTCCACATACAGTGGCTGTCACAGCTCAATGGATCTCAGTCAGCCATTCACTCCAGGGCCATACCACAACGAAAATCGGACACGAAGGCTGGAGCGCCCTCTAGTGTCTGTCCAGACACATAGCGACCCGAACTGTTTGCTGGGTGCGACGGAAAATGTCACGAAATATCTGTGCATGCTTGCGCACATAACCACAAAACGCATTCTGCTTGCATTGTTTCATCTGGGGGTCAAATAGGATCCTGTTGAAAGATAAGCTAGTGTAAATGCTGTTATAAATTATGTGCGATTTAAGATATAAAAATAATTAGAATCAGAATGCAGAAAGTAATGTTCAACGCCCGTGTATCATCTAGTAAGAATCAAATTGGAGCAATTTCTTTTCTTTTCTTTTTACCACCACTGAGTAACAAATTGATAAAACTGAATTAAACAAGATAGATAAAATCACATGGATAAAACAGACCAATCTATTGCAATGAAGATTGAATTATATTGTTGCAGCATTGAGCAAAAGTATATGATACACCAATATCCAACAGGAAAAATTGAAAGTCCATTTTCTTTTGCATTGAAGGAAAAAATTACTAAACGATGTTTAATGTCGTCGACCATTACAAGCATTCGCCATGTTGCAGCGCAAAAGAAGTTAATTTAAGGAGTGTTTTACCATCAAAACATTCTCACACAGCCTCTCTTGAAAAGAAAAAAAAACATAAATTGCAAGCCTGCTGAGGGACATGCAGAGCATCCCATCTCTGCCGGGACTCGAACCCGGAGCCTCTGGATTAGAAGTCCAGCGCGCTATTCCATTGCGCCACAGAGACCGCAACCACGCCACTTTTAACCTGGTACATCTTTGATGCTATATCGCATCAGACTTCTGTATCCCGGCAGCATCAGGACCATTCTGAACCGACATGTTGTCTGTACCAGAGTGAGCCGCAAGAGGGAGCTGTAGCAGCATTTACAACCTTTTTCTTTACCCACGATATATACGGTATATTAGGTGTTGTAAGGGATATCTTGGAAGAGTTTAATCTATTTTTAGAAAATTAAAATAATATGAGAGGGCCAAATGTAGAAATTGGTAAAAAGACACACTGTAGGTAACCTTGAAGGACCTGTGAAGCCCCACATAATGGCAGGTCACAGTGTTCACAGGAACACTTTAAACTGTGCCTAGTCAAAAGTGGAAAATGCACATGGAACTGTGTATAGTCAAAAGTGGAAATTACATGTAGAACATTGTACTTTGATCAGATTATAAAGGGAAAATGTAAATGTATTTTAGTGGCTGACTCAAAGTCGTTAAAATGACCAAGAATTGGTTGCCTCCATTCACTTTCCATACTTAACGGGGTCGCTGGAGCCTATCCCAGCTGACATTAGGTGAGAGGTGGAGGGTACCCTGAACAAGTCGCCAGTCAATCGCAGGGCCACATAAACAGTCAAACTCACTGATAGGGGTCCAATTAATCTAACATCTATGTTTTCGGACAGTGGGAAGAAGCCGGAGTACCAAGAGAAAACCCACACAGACACAGGGAGAACATGCAAACTCCACATAGAAAACTTCTAGCCTCAAAATTCTGAAATTCTAAGCTACATCTACCCCCCCCACCCCCCATAAAAGGACATACAGAGCCAGTCAAATGTTTTGACACATCAACTCTTTCAAATTGTATGAAAAGACATCCGAGTCACAAATTACAAGACATTTAAATAATCGATTTTTTTGTTACTGTTTATTCTGTACAACACATTTTTAACACCCACCTTCATATATACTGTATATATACAGTACAGACCAAAAGTTTGGACACACCTTCAAATTCAAAGAGTTTTCTTTATTTTCGTGTCTATAAAAATTGGCGATTCACACTGAAGGCATCAAAACTATGAATTAACATATGTGGAATTATATACTTAACAAAAAAGTGAGTCTGAGAAGGTGTGTCCAAACCATGTATGTATGTATGTATGTATGTATGTATGTATGTATGTATAGATAGATAGATAGATAGATAGATAGATAGATAGATAGATAGATAGATAGATAGATAGATAGATAGATAGATAGATAGATAGATAGATAGATAGATAGATAGATAGATAGATAGATAGATAGATAGAGAGAGAGAGAGAGAGAGAGTAGCCAAACATAGTGCTGAGGGGAAAATATAAATAACTTGTTCTTTTTATGACAAACAGTAATTGATATCATTAAATAAATTAAGAGAGTAACAGAAGTAAGAGATCAGGTATGACCTTAATTTCCTTCCAGTAAGTAGCTCACTGTTAATACTCAATAGAAATGTGAAAAATGTGTTGGAGTCTCGCACAAGTGAGAATACAAGTAAAAACTGGAGTACAATGCATTAAACAGATGTTAAGACTTTTTTTTGTCAATTTGAGAATACTATGAACTGGAGCACCCTCATAGTATAGAGAGGACATGTAAGCAGTTATTGCTACTGGATTTAATTGGACTATTGGGTTTGTATACAAATAAGTATTGCTAGTAAAAATAGGAGAGGAGGCTGTGTGCTTGTGTAAGAAAGCATTATACAAGGTATTTCACTTCATACTATGTCTTTGGTGTCTTATTTTATATTTCGCCTAAATCCTATACCATGGTCAATATCAGAGAACAGCAACAATCTGAAATTCCTTGAAAATACTTGTTCAGTAAAAGTCACAGTCCTATTGCATTGTTTGACATAATAAAAAGAAAAATGTGTTAATATGTGTGAGAGTTGTGAATTTGGGTTGCTGTGTTACAGAAAATATTAACTATGGAAGAGCAGCAGCCAGAGTCAACTGTCCTTTACCATGTTTCCCTCGTGCATTATATGAAAATCTGTTGGAAAGATAAGAAATACAAACCAAATTATATAACATCAGGCAGAATTTTTGGGGTTCTCTCTGTTTCTCTTTTGAAGGTCTATTCATACAATGCCAAGTGTCATGTAAAGTTAGATGTCAGAGTTATTAGTCTGTACACAATGTAGAGTGATTGCAAATAAGGTTTCACATTCAATGGAAGAGATTTCTGGTATTTGCAGTGTCAACAGTTCAGTTTGCAGATTTCAGTTTCTGTAACTAGAGTGACTTTACAGTTCTCCTCTTCCTCTGTTGGGATGGAGAAGTGGGGAATGGCAATCTGATGAAAGTAGAAGAAGTGAAGAAAGTATTTAAAAGAAACTCGATTACTATACATTTCTTATCTTTAGTGAGAGTTGTGAAAATATCTGTACTGTTGATGTAATCATAAACATGCATTGCCACACAATATAGATGGTGCCCAGGATGAGACATCAACTTTTGAAATTCAACATCAACCAGTAATAATGAATGAATGTATAATGAATACCTTATTATTGTTTTCAGAAATGTCACTGAGAAGATTCATAGGTTTTGGTACTTTGGGGAAGATTTTTTCTTTGTTCCTGTGCAGAAGATTTACATTTCAACATAACAAAAAATGCCTCAAGTATTTCACGAGATTAAGAAAAAAACTAAACTTTTCATACTTAAGATAAAACTTAAATGTCATAGCTGCCAGACATGCAATCACCAGTGGGATGAAAACTGCAATATACACCAATAAATTAGCATCCTTATCAGGACCTGCAAGAAAAACCAAATGGTAATTTTGAGGCTCAAAGGACAGTTGAAAAGTCTTAAAATCCACTTACTCTTTCACAAAAAGTTATCATAACTCCTTCTATATAATGTTATAAAGAGGTTTTCTGAGGTAGAACTTGTATATACTGTATGAAACAACAGACAGAAATAAATTTACTATACCTTGACACTTCAGGTCACTCCACGGAGTGCTGCCTTTTTCACTGACAGCTTTCATGGTGATGCAGTATGGGCACTGGGGAAAATGATTCACCAGATGTGATGTTACATCTTGTTTTTTGAAACTCTAAAAAATATTGGAGATTGAAAGGTATGGGTCAGTTTAGCTAAACCATCCAGGATCAACTATTCATCCTGAAGTCTGACCGATGCAATATATACCCAAAGACAAAATGAATCATTAGTGCTCATCCACTTGAGATAATCCACAATGTACCAATATACCAATAGTTGATAGGACAAAAATACAAATGTAATCATTAGAGCATTTTGTCTTATACCTTCATCGTATCACACTCAGTGTAATTGATTTCGAATGACCAAAAATCTATGCTCAAGACATCAGGAGGAGTCCATCTTATATTTAGTCTGTTTCCATCCTTGGTAGCGCTCCATTTAAGGGCAGGTGGCTTTACTGTGTGGACAAACATATCACAGACATTTACATTGCAAAGTTATTGAAGGCTTTTATAAATTCCCACTTCCATAAAGGCTTCCATAAAGGCTAATCATTTCAAGATTATGTCTTGTTCACATTCAAATGCGTTCAACATTATTTCAACAGGGCTCCTTCAAAGGCAGTTTTGATGCTTATCATGACTGATCAGGCCACTACATACCATTGTCTTTGGTTTCAAATCTGAAGGTGTTCCAGACAGCTGTATTATTCAATGTTCCATTAAACAATATATGAATGGCTTCATTAGTGGTTGTCTGCAGATCACAACCAGTCTTGACACCACCAGTGTAATTATACAAAGAACATTCTTTCAGATTTGATGAAGAGCTGGAGCCTGCCTCATCCACCAACCTTGAAAACACAAAGAAAATAGTTGTCTGGTTTTATTCTTTACAGGATAAAAGAAATGTTGAACCAATGTTGTATTATATCAATTCATAAACATATCTACATCTACAAACTAATATAACAAATTGCCTTTTTTAAATGTTTGTTTAAACCTATTATTTCACAGGTTTTGCAGCCCAAAGAAAGTTTTATGAAAAAGAAAAAGAATTTAGGTATTCCACATTTTCCCATATCAAACAATTGCTTTATGGTCAATTGAATATCAATTTAAGAGGATGAAATAACTATATACAATGTAGACATGTAAGACAGGTTTATGTCGAGGTACCAGTTCAGATACAAGCTCATGGTAACAATAATAAGATTTCCAGTAAATCTTAGATTTTCCTAGCTTTTTACAACAGAGTAGTCAGAATGAAGACAATTCTAGTTGAATGGTTTTTCATTAATAAACAAAGCACTATCAGACAGTACTATCAGGTCAATAGTACCAACCCTGGAGATGGATGTATGAAAGTTCACATAAGCCAAACCAATTTGCCACAGATGTGAGAAATCAAAACCACTAAGAACCACCCAGCGAGACATTAACATAACAAAAATGTTTGACTTCAAAAGACTGTGTACAACAGCTTGTATAAAACAAGATGGGGAGAGTGTGTAACTCCTAAAACTGTCTGTATGCTCCATAATCTGCGAATCATTAAGAATTTGCTCACACGAATAACAGTGTAAGGGGTAGCACCAGCAAAACCATGTAGCCAGCATCTGGTTGAATCAGCTAGTAGTTACATGACAAAACAGCTGTAAATGTGTTTAGTGCTGCTCAAACAGGGGCAAAAAGTGAATTTGTTTATGAACAAGAATACTCTCAGCCACATAATGACTGAGCATTGACTTATTAAAAATGATTCAATATAACTGCAGGCTTATGAGTGTTTTCAAGTTTCGAATGGGACATAGACATTCAGGTACCCATTTCCCCGGTGAAACAAGCTCCCAGTACTAAAGATGAAGGTCATTGCACTCGGCAGTCTTTTTACCCCCCACGCTTTCGTACCCAAATACTGAAGCGCATGAACTCTATTTCCTTTCTCGTACGTTCTTTGTTTACAGACAGTCACCACTCCCTCCCTAGTATTTTGGAGCTAGTTGCAATTCTACAGCTGCCGTTGTCTGATTTGTAGCTATTGACATGCCAGAAAGCGCAAAATGTTATCTTTTACTATGGGTAAAATAATTTGGTTAAGCTCCCTATGTAGGGTTCTACTTGAGCTTTCTTCCAGCAAAAAAAGGAGTTTTGATTTTCTTCCAAGTGTCAAAAGTTCAAACATTAAATGTTGACATTCTATGTAAAATTGTGAGGCCTTGTCTTGACTGAAAATGATCCAGGAATCAAAACGTACCATTCACTAAATATAATTTAAATTGACTAATATGAAATTATGGGAAAAGTTATCCCCCACTGTACTGATTGTTATACACAAAGCTTTCAAAGTAGCTAAATTTAAAACTTACAGTTGATGAAACTAGCTATTAGCAAGTAATTCGGCCTTAAATAATCCCCACATCACCACTTCCACTTGAGGCCTGTCAGTCTATGACAAAATCACCTAACCCAAGTGCATCAGGAAGTGTTGCAATATACTGTGTAACATTGAATTACAAGCAACAAATAAGTCTGAAACACTTTTGAAACTAGATTCTTTCTCCTCTGTATCATTTGCTGTACAAATACAGGCAGACGTAAAAACTGTAACTGTACATAAATGTGCTTACCGATAGAAAAAACTGAGATCAGTAGAGTTACTCACTGGGGACCAAGAGCAGTGACCTTGTTTGGCAGAGGAACTGTAGCAACTCAAGTCCTGCACCAGCTCTGGGAGAAAGCGGTACACTCATCGTCATAGACAGACATTATTCCACACAATACTGTATATGCTTCTAAAAACCTTTTTGACATGTCATTACAAGAAAAAATTAATCAAATTTAGTATTTGGATTTAAGAACAAAACAGAGCTGGCAATAAAGATAAAGGTGACTAAAGTGGTCTACCTGGATAACTGATGTTGAGAACCACAGACTCGCTCTCATTGCCTTCATAAAGCGTTTTAACAGACCAACGAAGAATCCTTCCCTGCATTAGGATGTATTTACTTAATTGACTGATACCATGGATCTAGAATAACAAAAAAATTTTTGAAAAATTAAACAAACAATCCAAACAACCTTCGGCAGCAGAAAAAAAGTTAGGCAGAAATGAACAAATTTTAGTTGTTTTTATCATCAGGGGTCCTTTACACATAGAGCGATATAGATCTTTTAGGTGGTGATTAGTTTTAACAATGAAATAAGATCCTGTTATCATTCAGTTGGTTTTTAAATGCTGACTTGGGTTACTGTCCTGTAATCATACATGGTGAAACATACAGATATGCACCTAAAACTGTTGGGATTGTTTTTGGAAAATACAAGTAATCAATAAAAAAAAACACAATGACTCTTTACATTTACATTAACTTTTACTTAACGGCAGACTTCATAATGTTTTAAGAAAGAATGGCAAAGTTTAATTTGTAACATTTTACCGTGACAACATTTGGAATATTGTTAACCCTTGGAATTTAATAGTCTAAACAACTCAGCAATCCAGAAAATTATTATTTGTTATTTTCAGTATTTTACCATAGTGACAGAGGTTTTATTATTAACCAACTGAGCACAGTAGTTTACTTACTCTATGTTAGTCTAAAACCAACTTGTTTGACAATACAGACCCTTATTTTTGCACTTACGCTACATTCATTTCCGTGCTCCTCCTCCGTTTCTGTACAGACTTCATACTCTGCCCCGGGATGTTGGGATGGCTCCCAGGACAACTGTGGTTCAAAGGCATTGATCCACAGCAGGGTCAGATTTTGTGGTGGCAAGATTTTGCCTTTATACAAAGAAGAAAACAAACATATGAAAGACCAAAAAGGATTGGTTCGTATATTGTTTTTTTAATCCTGTGATTTATTTTTCCATTCTGTGCAATTCTGTGAAATGGTGGGGTTACTGTTTGACTACAGCAGTGTAGTGGAACATCCAGATAAATAGATATGCCTTTGGAAAATACCAGAAAATAATTATCACATCACAAAAACAGCTGGTAAACATCTGTGCTGCTGTATACAAGTGGAGAAACAAGGTCACGTTCCCATCCAACTTTGGAGAGGACTTTTTCATTTGTATAGTTACAAATAAAAAAATACAATCGTACAATGTGTAACGCACATAACCGACTTTTAAACCTTAAAATTTGTTATGCGGCCAAGGAGGAGGCTCATATTTCTATTCTGGCTCACGTCATGGAGTATGACTTCCTCACAGGGAACAGCGTAAAGCGGCCGATCTAATGCGGGAAAAGTCTTCAAAAAGGGACACCGAAACATAACGAATACAATGTTTGGCTCACCTCTTTTGAGCTCGGTCGTTACAAAAAGGCAGCTCAACACAAGCACCTCCAAACGTGTAAACATTATGTAAATTCCTTTAAGGGGATTTTTTCTTCAAGTTTTCGTGTCTTAGTTTTCCTTCGACGCTGGTGAAAAAAAGTTGTATTGCTCCTGAAAAACGGTCGTCTGGTACCCACTCCGTCCGTTTGTATAAGTTTAAAGAATAAAGTACTTGCTTGACCAAATATTTTGGGTTCCAGGTCCTGTGGGGGGACGTCATAAAAAGTTGGAGTTGGAAGTGAAGTCGGTGGTTTGCTTCCTCCTTACAGTGGGGAGGTTACAGTTTTATATGTGCCAAAAAGGGAAGCGTACGAGTACGGAGAGTTTCGATGTTTAAAGTCATGCGCGTGGTTTAACGCAGATTTCAAAATAGTATTCTCTTTCTTGTTCAGTTGTACAGTCAGCCCCTGTCTAAAGTCTTGTCACTTACCCATTTAATAGCAACAACAGTATAAAAATGTCTCACAGACAGACAGACAGACACACACACAGACACACACACAGACAGACACACACACACACACACACACACACACAGACACACAGAAATAGGCTTCACTGAATAGAGATAATTTAATGAACACTGAAGGATCAGCGGGGTTGTTAGCACTGGGTAGGTACTGGGTTCGAGTCCCGGGGGGACCCAGGACCTTTCTGTGTGGAGTTTGCATGTTCTCCCTGTGTCTGCGTGCGTTTTCTCCAGCTTCCTTCCTCCCACAGTCCAAAAACCTGCATGTTAGGTTGATTGGACATTCCAAATTGCCCTTAGGAGTGAGTGTGAGTGTGTGTGGTCACGGTGGTCCTTGAATGTCTTGTGTGTGGCCCATTGACCACTGGGATAGGCTCCCGTTCTCCCCGCGACCCCATTCGGGAATAAACGATAATGGATGGACGGATGGATGAAAGATTGGCTTGAGGTTGAATGACTGCATCTGGGCGGTTCAACAATGACTCATACAGCTAGTTGATGAAATAATTGGGAATAACAAAGATAGCATTCTTACATGCCTCTGAGAGTTTATCAAGATACTTTGTTTTCATCTTCAATGCTTCCTCTTTCATTCTCTCTCTTTCATCCTTTACTAGTCAATGATGTTCATGTCTGGTGTCTGGGCTGGCTAGTTCTGGAGAACTTTGATCTTCGTCACCTTGAGGAACTTTGATGTAGAGATGGAATGATGCGATGGGGCACCATACTGCTGCAAAATTTGAGAATGTAAGAAGTAGCCCATCCTTATTGATAGTTTAGGCTATTGATGTCACCTTACACCCTGGAAATCTCTCACACACCCCCACACTGGATGTAATCCCAAACTGTGATTTTTCCGCCACCAAACCTAACAGTTTTCTGGGTGAATCTCGGATCCATGCACGCTCCAGTTGGTCTCCTACAATATTCGCGGTGGCTGTGGTGTGATTCACCCAACAATTCATCTGTGAAATCAACCTTCTGCCACTTTTCCAGCGTCCATCCTTTTAGCAGCCTGTGGGCCTTGGCAAAGGCAATTGAGGTAAACTTGTTCCCAAGGAACAACACTTTTGTCAGGGACTGTACAAGATCATAGAAACAATTACAATTATAATTTCATTTTACGTTGTAATGACACAAAGAAAACGCAAACACCATATACACCTTACACCTCAACCTCTAGTTTCCCACTGCAGTCCAAAGTTGAAACACAAGTGGCTAATGCTATTTCAAGGCATAAGACATACAGATAAATCCACAGTGCTATTGTTTTATGGTATCTTTACGCATTTGTTTATGTGCTAACACAACAACAACGAAAAAACAAATGTGAGTTCTCAAAGCAAGGAGCATTATATAAATAGCATAAAAAAGATGGGATACAAACTTTATTTCCCATAACAGTTAACTAACAAACAAGGTGCTACACAAAAATGTGTTATTTACAGCCCTATAATGGTTAAAGCTGTTTAAGGTTAGGAAAACCACCACCAGACAAACAGAATGACTAAATCCCACAAAGCAGAAGAAGAAAGGCTTATCTTGTAAAAGGAAGGAAACACTTGTATCTGATGTGACAATGCATTTTACATGAGCTATAGTCAGTGACAAAATAGCAAAAAGTCAAAGTAACAGACAGTCCACAAAGGATTGACATATTCTCACACAATAATAATTGCTGTTCTCCTTCCAAAAGTAAAAAAATAAAATTGGGTATTCATGTAAAAAATACATCTTGTGTTTCATTAACATGAACTGTTCTGCAAAAAGTCTTGTTTCTTGAACAAACTATGCAAGATGTGTAGAATTCACTGAAGTCTGCCAGCAAACTTAATGAAAGTCAGCAGAATACCCAGTCATGCTTTACTGACTGCTAAACAGAGGACATAAAATAAGTCGGTTTGCCTTGATCCATATTTCACCACAGGAAACAAGTACTAATCCTGACTTGCTTGTGAATTCCATGTCACATATAAATTGTACCTTCAAAGAAATAATGTATCAAATCAATCTGTCTAATCTTTTTTATCTTATTAAACTTTTAAAACATGGTTGATTTTCCAAGTCCCCACGACTGTCAGATAGGTGGCCCCCTCTCTTCAGGGACAAGAATTACTTTCTCAGATTCCAAGGGCTCTGGCACTGGCTCGTACAAATTAACTGTTGCAGTCTGGGAAATGCATAATTAATGTTAATGGAGACAAAGAGAGAAAAAACAATCCAATGTTCAGGTTTATTAGAAATTATACCTTAACTTCCTTGTTTCCGTTCATCATTCCCTTTAAAAAGTCTGATGGGTCTGGTATGACGGGGCAAAAGATGTGTCTGTACCTGAAAACAAATTTGAAAACAAATATAGTTTTTCAGAGATATAAGTGCAATGGTGATCAGGATGTGTCCACCTATTTGATAAGAAAAAAATATGGAGATATTTTTTAGAAGCTGTTTTAGTAAATCAAATGGTTATAAATTCAATTAAATTAAATTAATAAACCATTTCATATACTAATACTATGTGATGTCACAGCTATCTTCATTATCCAGAATTACTTTTCACAAGTAACATCCCCCCTTCCAACATGACATATGCCTCAAGTGAGAACTAATATGGATGAAAACACATATAAGATACAGTTTTGTGTTTTAGAAATGCATATGATTGGGTGAACAATGTACATTTCTCAAATGAAAGTTACTGTACTTCCATATCTATATGTACTTCTGAAAGATCAGACTGTTGCACTTCTGGTGTCATAAAAGTAATCTAACTCATTTGCAAAATATACCAGTCATGTGGTTTCATTGCTATAGATCTCAAATGCTGTTTGATTGGTTTAGACTTAGCACTATGTGCCTGGTGAGTGGAACTCATTCCCACACGTACCTCCTGAAGCAGTAGCACGACATCATGACAGAGAGAAACAGAATTATGGGAATGACAATGGCAACCACAGTAACTGGCTTGAAACAGCTCCTATTGGTACCTTTGATAAACAAGAAACAAATATTTTCATTATCTTCAAAAGACTATTTAAAGCTTTTCATTTAAGTCACACTCTTAAAAAACAAATCAATTTAAACTGATTCAGTTCAGTATCCAGCAGAAAGTTCTTATATTTTATTTAAATATATCACTCTGTTATAGTAATTATAGTAATTCTGCATCTGTTCCAGAACCATTCTGAAAATTAATATGGGTTAATTTCAACATCCTTAAAACACACAAGGCACGATTCATGATTAATCAAATACACAGTTACAAATTATTAGGCAGAAACTAATGAGCAATTTTTCAGTATTAGATTTATGGAAATATATGACAATTCTAATGTAATTTAATTTAATTTAATTTAATTTAATTTAATTTACATAGTGCTAATGTCACAACAAATTTAAATTCCAGGCATATGAGAAATACAGTCAAACTAAAGCTAATTACAATCCAAAAAATCCAATGGTTCCACTTTTAACCATCAGGTTTTTAATGCTTTTTTCCCCCTGTAAATAAGTTGTAACTGTCATACAAATAAACTTGCCTGCCTGTATGCCTGCCTTGGGGCTGGAAACACAATCATGAATTGAGGACCAAATGCTTACTTCTCCATAATACTTCTAGCTAAACCTGCCTGTAGGCACATTTTATTTTACAGGGGGGTTTGTACCAACATATATATTTTGCATGCATATGTTTAAATAAAATGTTTTTCTCTTGTTCATATGATATATTGTTCATAGTTTACAAGAGAGCTTTTCATGTGTGTTTGCATGCAAATTTTGAATGATATCCCTAGTTGCTTCCCATACCAATCTGAGTCTGGTTAGAGGAACAAAGTTGATATTTAACTGATAAGGTAGATAAATATACACAAAGACATCAAATAAAAAATAACTATTTTCAAAAGAATCTATCTTTCAGCTTTGTATAATGAATATGTTTTATGTTTGGTTTTTCAGTGTAGCTAAGTAAAAAGGGTTTCTGTCATTTGAAATAAGCTTGCTTTTTGCTTGTAATGCGTAAATAAGTAAATTAGATGAAAACTTACCGTAAACTTGAATATCACTGTTATTGCTTGTGATTGGCAGGCAATAATGATTAGTTGCGACATAGTATTGGATCTTATACTCGCAGCATTCATCATAGGGAATATTCACTGTATCAGATGTAATGAGTTGCTGCTGTGGTTGGAGGAAAAAAAAGTACAAAAACAATCATATAGTTTCAGTGTTACATTAAAAATTATTGCAGCTTGAATTTCAGTGTCAGGGCTTAAGAGCGAAATCTTTTCTTGTATATATGTAATGCAAAAATGTCAGTGTTAGATTAAATTAAAAGAATTTGACATGACTTACTTTGCTCTCACCACATTTGTTGTAAGAGACATGGATTTCCAAAGTGCAGTTTGTTCCAATTTCACGAGCAACAGGTCGCAATGTGAGATAATCTCCGACCTCTTGGAATTCCCACACAGGCTTTTTGATCACTAGACAGAATATACAACAGCAAAAATCAAATGTGTGATAAATAGATTAATAATCACATATAAGAGTTTACATAAAACCAATAAAAACTTAAAATGAAAAAATCCACAATTAGCAATCACAACAAAAATAAATCACAGGAAACAGCGCCTACTAAGCTTAGGTTTCAGGGTCTGCACTCTGTCTCCACTCTTCACAAGCACACAGATGACTTTAGAGTGCCAGTTGATTTCCAACACACAAAAGTTTTGCCTGGTGTCAAGAGGACACGTCTTTTCTTCTTTTTCATCTTTTCCACAGTATCTAAAAAGACAAAATGATGATAAAATCTTATTGACTCTTCCTTCAACCTGACACTAGATGGCATCCTGTCACACAATAGAATATTCACAGTAATCCTTTATTTATTACCACGTATCTGCAATCTATTGAGTTTACTTAGACATGTGTCACACTTGATACATGGATTTATAAGATCTTTTGCATCATCATTTGCTCAAAACTTTATTTAAAAAAAAAAGCTGGGTAGAATATTTCCATTTTCGGTCACACTAAACCTTTGCACACTAAACCTTTGCAGAATGTTTAGTGTGATTTATACTGATTAAAAAACACACATGTACACACACATACATCCATACATACACACACACACACACACACACACAAACACACACACACACACACACCACACGTACATACTGTACATCCGTATTGGGTCAGGCTTTTATGGGTTAACCAGATGGTATGTTAACAACTTTACATTTACATTCAATTTGAACAGAGAAAAAGTAGAAAAAAATATCCAGACATGAACTATCACTACCATTGCCATTTTTGTACATTTGCAAAAGTTAACTTTTTTTTTGTTTGTAGTTTTTTTCATTCCTTTTTTCATTCCTTTGTGGATGTGAGTTGACTTGAAATTCATAAAGTCAAACAATTCCTATTTATATGTGAAGAAAATGTTTGTACTAAAATGGTACACATCTGCTATTGATACATATGTTGTACATACCAGCCCAATACAGACGTAGAAGTTTTGTACTTGAAGCCTGTTATTCTCACCTATAGATGAGCGACAACTTCTGAGATGGATCAACTGGTAACCAGGAACAGTTAATTTTATCCAACATCACAAAGCATTTGAAGTCCTTTACTAGCTCAACTGCACAATTAAAGAAAAACAAAAACAAAAAACAAACTTAAAACAAGCTTGACTCCACAGCACTACAATGGGAATACTGAATGGACAATGAGTGTAGTCATCATTATAATGATGTCAAAACGTATTGCTGCTTACCGTGTGACGTAGAAATGGATATATTTGCAGGTTCACTTTTACTCCAATCTTTGCATCCCAAAGCGGTAATTTCAAAGTGCAAATTACCAGAGAGCATTTCATCCGTGAGATAACGCCCCTCGAAATCTGTTGTTTTAGAAATCTGTAAGTCAAAGAGAGAAACAATCAAACATTCTTATTTAATTATCAACTGGGCTTTTTGCTATATAATTTCCCTTCTTTCATCCTTCCTTTACAAGTTCCCCAGTTCATAACGCGTCACTGTTTTTCAAGTTTTGTGAAAGTCTGTATCTTTACCATAGAGTTTGAAATCATGACCATGAAAAACAATGACCATACAAAACAGTACAAACTTCTAACATTCTTTTTACAAATCATGATAACAGACCAAATTAATAGTATGCACCACATGTCAAGTTACTATATCATAATAGTATGCAGGGAATCTTTTACCCTTCTACCCATAACCCAATTTGTTATAAGTGGTATGGATAATGGATGGAATCACTTCTAGTAACTGACCTAAATATGGCATCTTTCAACTTCACACTTCCTTCATGTCAAATGCAAATTTTTGAGTGAAAACAACAACATTTTTATAGAATAAAAACAACTGAATGCACTTTTTATCTAATTGTTTTTTTTCAAGCATTAAAAAAAAAAACCTAATGACATTGTTGTCTCAGAAATGTTTCAGAGAAACAGAAACTGGCATCCAGCTATAAATCTGAACAACTATAACTCACTGGTGGACAGTCATGTCTCTTAGAATACAGATACATCTTTTACACATATTGCACAGACCCACTTCCCAACAAAAGCATGTCTCACCATTTCTTTTATTTTTTCTGTTTTGGTCCACCGGTATACAGCATATTCAATTGTACAGTTGTGTGGCAGGTTATCAGGCCTAGTCCAGGACCAATTCACATGTAGATTGAAATCATCAATCCACCAAGGACTCAGCCCAGTTGGTGCAGGGAGGCGATGATCTGCGGGGAAAACATTACAAATGTAACAGTTCCTCTCACCATTTCAGAATAAATAATACTGTCATAGATTGGATTCACAGTGAGAAGGGATTGCATTCAATGCCTTGTCAAGCACTTCTAATTTTAATCAGAGGCTTCAATGAGCTAACCATTGCTGGTTTAGTCATCTTTGATAAACAACAACTCCAAATGCTTTCCATTCAAAGTATTTGACTCAATAAACACAAATGGTTGCGATAATGGATGGATGGATGGATGGATGGATGTTCTATAGCTTACACTTAATGACAATAGAGCAGTTTCTGAGTTTAATTCTTTAATACTAAAACAGCTAATCTTATCACCAAGAGAACATTTAAGGCCACCTTTCAACGTTTCCCAATAATCTGTAATGAACCTGAATGGTAAAAAAAGCAGGCCCTTTTCGGAATGATCCCTAAAGATTATGATGAATTAATTGTGAAGTATGACTGTAACCTTCAGGGAGCTTTCAGTTAAGATTCCCTAAAGGTTAGAGGTGGTGTAACCTTCAGTATGTCATTAGGTAACATTCTTTAACATTCTGAAGGTTAGAAAGCCTATAACCTTTGGAGTACGGTCAAGCTTTGTAACTTGTGGAGAAACATTTGGGAATATTCCTTGACAGTCACACTGTAGTCAGCCTGTTACCTTTAGATGACCTCCTAGGTACATTTTTAAAGGTTTTATAATGATTATAGGGTGGAAGATCTATAGATTACCAACAGAAAGCACTGATTAATATGGCCCCTTGATGTAAAATAAAGAAAAAGTCACTTTAAAAAAACGTAAAAACGTTTTTATATAAGTAATTTTGTTATGCATCTCATGATTAATGTTGCCTTTGAATTACTTTTGATTCTTGAGATGAACTGGCTCTAGCAGACTTTGAGTCTGATGGTTCATTTTCACACAACTGTGCTGCACTGGTATTGTTATGTTTTATCGTTTGATGCTATTGTTTATTCATTCATTCATTCATTATACATTTTCACACTTCCTGAGACCAGTCAATTAGAATACATTCTTAATGTATTTTTACCAAGCCTGTGTGATATTAATGAGAAATTCACCTGTTGAAAGTAAAAAAAAACCCTCAAGTTTCATGTAGTAAATACATGTTTTATAATATTGAGGGCTACTTGCACAAAGATATTGGTGGTCGTTGTTTTCGTACAGTTTATGAAGTCGTCTCAAAGACAGTGAGATCTAACTGTCGCTGAAAATAATAGTTGTAGAATCCCGTATCTAGTCAAAACAATTTATACTTATTGATCCAGGTTTTCAGATACAATTGCCCACATAAAGTCCCATGCAAGTACACGAGATAAAGGTTATGTGACGTCACGCAAATTATGAACCCGATGGCGTTTGTGATAACCATCAAGGAACCAAAGGGAAACATTTTGTAAACACTATTGGTATATTTTTACCCATAGAGATCGCAGCAAATACAGTGATCTTTTAACAGGTGTTCCCAGAGCATATTTGTTAGCTTGGAAAATTGACTTTCAGACACCAACAACGGCAAGTAGTTAAAGCAGGCTACGTCTTGCTTTTTCAAGCAGGAAACCTGAACGGAGCTATGTAGGCGTCCGTCTGACCGGTTACAGCCTACCAAAACCGACGAGATTAATAGAAATCAAACGTCACAGAGAGTTAAACAACAAGCACCAAATTGTATAAATATCCGGAGGATAAAACCTCTAAACATAGCCTATAAAGGAATATGGAACACCAAACTGAAACAGCATACTGAAAACAATTTGAAGAATACTAATATCAATCAATGAGATATAGAAATAAATAAGAAAATGTGATCATTACCTGCTTTGCATTGAGAAAACGTCAGAATGGCAAGGCAAAAAACGACGAAAATATCCATAATAGTGACCCTTTTTAAACGTGCGTCCATTCGAACCGGCTGACAGTAGTCCGACAGTGGGGTGGTGCACTAGCTTGGGTTAACACAACGGACGGACTACCACTAAAAGTTAAAATAATTAAACTTTTTTTTTAATTCAGGAGAAAGAAAAAGTTAAAGGTAGAGGAAAATCACTGAATGATCAAAAGAGTCTCGATGACTGCTGGGAACACTGTCAGGATACAGTTCGTGCGGGAAAAGATAGTTCCTGTTAAGGAAGAAGGAGGAATGATTTTCTCGTTGAGAAAAAAAAAAGCGACGCTCCGGTGTTTTACTGCAGCGACTACATCACGCATGCGTGTGCTCTTGGGCGCAAAATCGCATACCACAGGTGTCAAGTCCCTCTAGGAACAACATACTGACTCAAACAGAAAAGGAGACCAGTGAAAGTCCGTATAAATGTGGCCTATGTGCCAGTGAGGGCTGTGTTCGGAGTCGAGTGCATGCAATGCTTTCCCTGATATTGTGGGAGTGTCCTGAAATTGAATTTTTAACTTACATGTTTATATATTTATTAGATCCATCCATTAGCGTTACCGCTTATTCTCTAATGGGTTCGCGGGGAGAGCTGGAGCCGATCCCAGTGGTCAATGGGCGAGAGGCGGGGTACACCCTGGACAGTCCGCCAGTCCATCGCAGTATATTTATTGGATTTAATTTGAAAATCCAATTTTATCGTAACAATTAATGGATGGTTTTGGACTGGTTGTTATGGAAGTAGAAATGTATTTTCTGCATTTTAAGGACTCCAGTTTCAGGTTGGGATTAAATTTGAGTGAGCTAGTAGAAATGTTTCATTAACAAACGCAATGACAAACAACTTTAGATCTTAATATTTTCTTATGTTTTATTGCTAAAGTGTTTTACAAAGGAAATATGACAAACAGTTGCACATTGTCAATCAATGCAATAAAAATAATAAAAGAGAAATGATAAGACAGATTTTGATCAAGTGCCAAAAGGAAGTACCGTAATAGCATATGTACAATCATGTATTATACATACAAACCTACACTGACATGAAATTAATTTTACAGCATGTCAACAAACCATGAACATAACCTTAAATATCATTAATATATCTGCTAATTTCAGTGTAGCACTTGTGAAATACTAGACCAGTATATTATTTTTTCAAGACTTGAGTATTTTAAGATGGCAGAGTGCAAAGGCACTGAATCCACATCGAGCTGAGAAAAGCTCTTGACTCAATGACTAGACTGAGGTGAATTTCATACGTTTTATTTTTTACATTTCTGAATGTACTTAATGCCAGCATTCCACATGTTTCTTCCCTCTAGCAGATTCAGCATAGCCAGGTGAGGCCTAACAGGGGCCTGTCTTGTCAATATGTACATTGTAAGCTGCTACTCTTTATATGTGACCTTTTTGCTTATCAGATTTTTGTTTGGCTTCAGGTGTGCGTCAAAACATAACCTATTGAATTGGTATGCCTCCAACAACTACTCAGGTAAAAAATATATATATATTCCAGAGCGAAACATCTCCATAGATCTTATGACAAAACTTGGGAAAAAGGTGAGAGAATAGTTCCAATACTCAGCTAGAAGTCAATCCTGCAGTTTGTTTCCAAGACAGAAGAAATAATCGATTACAATCTGTTGTGGCTTAGTCTAATGCCTAAACCCGACATGCTTACATTTAGCCAGTTTTGCAGAAATCCATTCCAAAACATACTGATCCTATCACCATAAGAGCAGTATTTTGTGAAATGGAGTATAATATTATTATCAATCTGCAGTGCGGTGACCTTTGACGCCTTGTTTCAATGCACAAGCAATACAGATGCTGAGGATAGCCCATAGCATCGGAGGGTGGGGAATAGGTTGTTTAGGTAGGAGGTAGAGGCAGCCTCCCTCTTATCCCCCCATTCAGATCTTCAAAGGAAAACTTTCGGGAGGACAGGCGGTAAGAAACTCAGCTCATATCAGTGGATGTCCCACTGATGGCCCGAAACACATGGAGGGAGTTCTGTAACAGTGAGCGCATCATGTCCTCCTGATAGATCTGGAGTCAAAGCAAAATGGACATCATGAGAGGCGACTGTTACACGAAGCCATATACACACATGCACACTATCAGCAAACTATTAGTTTGTTTACATAAACTAAATTCCAGGCGCGGATGAGGGGCTAATGCACAAGGAGGTCGAAACATGCAAACAAGACAAATGCACACCAGGAAATAAGATAGAAAATACACTTTTCTTTGCACATGTAATCTATGTGGCAGCAAGGTGACAGACATTTTTTTTTTTTTTGTGTGAGTAGCTAAACAGTTTTCAGACTTGAGGGGTGATTTGAAATCTGAAGTCCACTTCAATTGTGATGTTTATTCCCTGGATACTAAATGGGCATATTTATTCTAAGCAAGCAACTGTTGCTGTACCAGCAGACATCTAAACCTAATGTGGCAGTCTCCAAACAAGTCCAAAATCATTGTATAATGACTGCTTACATCCTAATGCAAATCCTCATTTCTGCTGCTGATGAATAGGTTTATGTATAACAAAGAAATTGCAGTCACATAGAGAAAATGCAAATCAATGATCCCGTTGAAAAATGACCTGACCTTGTAAACTGACAAAAAAACACTGAGATCACTTGTTCTCCCAATTTTTTTTCCACAAGCCCAAAGTGATCAAGGGGTCTTCAGGCCCTCTGATAGCACCTACTGATTAAGTGAAGGCGTGACAGGACTCCACTCCCTGCTTATATGAAGTTTTATGCAAGAGCCCATATTATGTAACATATAAACCGCGGAGCCATCAAGCTTTTACCTGAGGCTGTTTAACCGTGCCGTGTTTTAGCTTACATAGATCGTGTTTATGCTTGGCAATAAACAGGGTAACCGTAGAAACAAAGAATATTTTCTCTGCCATGACAAGGAAATAAAAAATATTGGACCGCAAACTGGAATATTATCTGATCTCTGTTTACATGCAGCTTAATTTGGTTTGGAAAGGGAAGGTTGGGGCAGGTCTATTATTAGGATGCATATGTTTGCAAATGTGGATATGGAAAATGCACACACTTTATCAAAAACAGCATTGTGCAAAAGTGAAGTGTGTAATGCAAACATGATTTCATTAAGGGCTTTTCTGATTTGCATTCTTTTGTTTGACATGCTGTCTTCTAAAACAGCATTTCAGTGCTTTTGGATGAAAAACTTTTACTTGTCTGTTTCAATGTCTCCTGTTTCTGATTTGTGAGTACATATGATTATCAAACAACTGAATATGTTCTCTGATTGTATTTGTTCTGTAAGTGATTTTTTTACAATTAACTTTTTTTTCAACTTGAAGCATCTGAACAAAAAAGTGAGAGCGTGCAAAATTATACTGGATATTCATATGAAGGGGACAATACTAACATATGGGCTTTTCCACACTTAATTACCTGGTTTCCTTAAAGCTAAAAGTCAGCACATTGGAGGGAAAAAGTCAGACTTGTCAGTTTAGTGATATTACCAAAAAAGAAGCCAGAGACAACGTAAAACAGAATCAACATCAACACACTGAAACCCATTCTGTCACTACTAGCAGAGTTTGTGTGGTTGTATGATGCAATACAGCCATAGAAAATTGCAATGGTTACAAATGGACAATACACAATCAGAAAGTTAAAGTGATTGATAAGTTTTTCTGAGTAAAATAAAGATTTTCACATCATTTGCTCAATGTACAAATAAGTTCACGTTTTTTCCCCACAAAATGTATGCTTTTCGTCAACAATATTGGCCAATTTCTACTTTCATTGCTTGCAAAGGAGCATTAGTACTGTTCTAAACACAAGCATTTTAAGTTATGAGTGCATGAGCCATCTGCTTTGACGGAGGGAGTCATTCCTCCAGGAAATAGTCAAGAGGAAATTCAGTTTTTAATGATTCCTGACTGTTAAATCATCAGTTTCCTGTTGCAAGTCATTATGAGTCGCTTCAAGTCCGATGATCAGTGTTAAACATTAAGCCACAGCTGCATTATGCAGGCTACTGGGTGTTGGTGAAAGGGTCAAAGAGCAGTAAACATAGAACCCAGTGTTTCTAGCTACAAAATAAAACTCAAAGTGTTGCTAATTTGTTTCCTCTACATACAACATACAAATATTGCTCTAAAAGCAGCTAGTCACAAACATCAGCAGACCAAATAAAGGTCCATTTAATAACTTTAAAAAATGTTAACAAGAAGCAAGTGAAGATATAACTTCTAACAAAAATGAATGGGTTTTGCAGGCACTGAATTTCATATTTTTCCTTGAACTTTTCCTATTTAATAAACAATGTCTGTTAAAGTTTCTATTCACTATTTATATTATTATTCCTACTTCCTGATTTTCACACAGTATTCCTCTAGTTTGGAATTTCCTGTTTTTAATATCTTGGATAAAGATAAACAAAAAACAGTTCTCAAAAAGAAAAAACACCCAATCATTATAAACTGAAGAGAGGAAAAAATTAAACCTCACCAGGTTCGTATTATTTCACTTTTTAAAGAAGGTGGCCTGGGTGGGTATCTTGTTACTTTTGTGCCAACATTAACTTGAAATATAACAAAGGAGTGTGACCGTAAGTAACTTGCATTCCACATGCATATTTTGTCATTAGTTTCAGCATGCACGGATAATTAACATTACCTGTTCATGGATGATATCTGATAGCTCCTTTACCATTTCTTTAAAGTTTGATTTCAGGCCTTCGTGATACTCAAACTGGTCCTCTTTTATCAAACGTTCATTTATGTCCAGAGCCATGCTGCATGCTTCAACAAACCGCCTGCAGTTATTAATGAAAATAAGAAAACAACATTTAAAAAACAGACAATTAAAAAAAAAACTTAAGAAGTGCTCAAATAAATGTCCCAAATCCTTTTTATTTATCATTATACTGTTAAAAATAAACATGCAAACCTGAAAATATCCTTAAGTTCTTTCACTTTTTTTACGCCAGACTGGTTGGATTTACTCTCATCCAGGAATGCTCGAGCATATGCCATGGGACCTGCATTCACCTGCAGCAAAAGATACCTCAGATTGTTAAGAATTCATACATCGCAAACAGATTGGCTCAGTGCATGTTCTCTCAAAGCTCCAATAGCGACTCAACATAGGAAGAAGTGGTTAATTTATGACCATTCAACACTGTAGAGTAAACATATGCACATTGGAGTGGCCATGGCTCACCTAAAAGACAGAACCTCACATTGCCTCTAATAAGTTAACAGGGAAATGTAAATGTTTTGTAGAACACAGACAAGTCTTAAAAGTGGTAAAATGTGGATAGTTTAAAACACTTGTTTTTTTAAAAGAACTTGCAAGAAAGGCAATGGACATTTTTTTTGCCATCTACATTCTTTCAATTGGCTGTTTGCATGACTGAAACCTTTACCTGCACAGAGACACAGCCCTGCAATTTGAGCTGCAGTTGGATCATGTCCACCTCCTGGTTGGAACAGAGCTTGATCAGCTCTCCTGTTCGAGCCTTCATCTCATCTATAGCAACATCCACTGGCTTTAGCTCCACCTGTTTCTCCCCCACCACTTCCACACGCTTTTTCACATATGGAAAAGTGTTGGCAGCTGGATATGAGGGCAGAATAACTGGTTTAGTGATGCCATACAACCAAATGTCGTCATGCAAAAAAAAAAAATAGAACAAAAAAAGAGACTATGCTTTATTCACTTCCAAGGTTTGTTGTATCATGGAATAATTTAGTTACGTCTTAAACTTAAGTCAGTGTAGCCAGAAAATAACAACACATAACCAGTTTTACTGTTTCAATAGGAGAGTAGTAAGCAGTCAATGGGTTCTGATCAATTAAATTTGAATTAACTGATCATCATTCAACAGGAATAACTCTATAAAGGCTCAAATTTGGGTCAGTTACTTCTTGGACATTCAGGTGCTGACAAAATGCCAAGGTGGGAACAGACATCAGCAATGACCTCAGATAAGGAACTGAAGACGACCATTTCCTTTTATAAGAATCATGAAGTAAAAAACCTATTTGGAGTTCATCATTTTACAGTTAGGAAGATTAGTCCAAGGTGAAACTGTGCATACCTCTGAGAAACAGCAAAAAACCCACACCTCAGACTCTACAGTCTCTAACAGTAAACATGGCAGCAAAAAAAATTACTGTTCTTTTTTGCCCTTTAATGTGACCAGAACTACATGTATAAAAAGTTAACAACATAAAAAAAAGAGAATACAAAAAATAAGAATGACAAAATCCCTTCAGGGCGCTTGTCACTAAGATACATTCACACTGAGACATGATGATGTCCTAACACACAGCAGCTGAATACTTTTTTTTACCAAACTGTTAAATTTCACTTTTAACATTTCACTGTGTCACCACACACACAATTGCAATCCAAAGTGGGTGTGTTTAATTTAAATCAATCAACAGAACGAGATGGCACTTTGTTACTAAAAACTTGTTTTTGAACACAAGAATTTGATCTGATGAAAATGTCAGTTTCTCCTTTCCATCCCCAAATGGGGCATCACGGCAACAAAGGCAAATGCATTTTTAATATGTTATTATGTTATGCACATTAAAAGGGTTGAGCTGTTAACCACGGGCATTCCATAGAAAAACACTCAACAATTTGTTCTATTTTTCACGCTGCACAACATCTTAAGACTGAGAGCGTAACAGTGTTACATATCAGTGTGAACACCAGCTATTGGTGTGTGTGTTTCACTTACTTATGAGGACCGTCCTCCTCTTGCACTGCTCCTCCACCCCGCCATGTTTTTTCCCCAATAACGTGTATGGTGTCTCAAACACAAAGCGATTAATGTTGTGACACTTCTCAAAATCTGTCTTCTTCTCTGGGGCTTCTTTCTCTTCGAAGTATGGCTTGACAAATGTCACTTGAATGTAGGCAAACCTGGAGTCCAGCTCTTTGGAGTTCACCTGTGAGAGAACAGTCTGATTAAATGAAATACAGAAGTATAGAAAATTATGCCAAATACAAGCAGGATTTTTAATCTTAGATTAAATGACCCCTGACTTGAAAAAGGAATAGCTCAGGAATAATAATGATTCTAATTTAAAGACAAACCAAACTTTTGGAGCACCCAACATAGATAAAAAAAATGTCCTCAGACTGAAACTTTGGGCTATACAAAACCATGCTCATCTCCCCCACCTAATTTTTCTTAACATCACTAAATCTGATTGGTCCAACACAATGAAGTAGTTAGAAAAATAATTTCTTTATCAGTCAACTGAGACTTTATCATTAACAAATATGATAACTTTCTAATTTTACAAATATCTTATTTTCTAAATAAAAGTGGAACCTTAATACCAAATGAATATTTTTCAACTAGATCAGTAGTTGAGCTAAAATCAAAAATCAAATACTCAGATTGTTCTATAAGTTTTATTCAATTCTAATACTGCACTTTGCTTGAGTCCTGAATGATCCTGACGTTCTCTGGGCTGAACTTTTCCCCGTAGAGTGTCAGCAGCCGCTGGGAGATTTCAGACAGACCAGTGAGTTTGGGCTCTTTGTAAATATACTCCATCCCATCCTCTTCCTCAAAGAAGACCTGGTCAACAGACAGGCATTTAACCAAGATTAATCATTGTAACAGAAATCTGTAAACACAAAAAAAATACTTTTTTGAGCTTGCATTAAAATAGAATATAAGATATTGATTTGATTTAAAATACATTATTTATTTCTAGCATAGAATATAATGACAGAGGGAAAACACAGTTCTCTGTTTGGCTTTCACAGAAAACAGTCATTCCAAATGTGTTTCAATTTCAACAAAAGTCTTAAATGTAAGATATACAGGTGTGTACACACATGCATAACTGCATACAAACATATCAAATGCCTTTTTGGTTACTGCACCAGTCAAAATCTGCATGATTGTCATATATCGCCCACCTGCACAATGTGGCGATTTTCTTGATGAACTCAACATGTTACTCTCCTCGATTCATGAATTTGATTGTCCCACAATGGTCCTTGGTGATATGAATATACACCTTAACTCCCCTTACTCATCTAATTTCTTAACATTAATGACCTCTTTTGACCTACAACTGGGCAGCAGTCTACTCACAAAGCGCTTGATCTCATTTTCACAAGGAAATGTGCAATAGAGGTCCTTTCTGTAACACCTCTGCATTTTTCTGATCACTATTTCATTCAATTCAGTGTAAAACTCCCAAAAACTTCCACTGCTCCCACCTCCGTGGGACTGGGACCTCTTCTCTTTGCCATATACACCACCACATCTGTGACAGATCATTCAATCACATGGTTTCTCATACCAATGTTATGCTGACAACACCCAGCTCTATCTGTCATTGTCACGTCTGGTGTCTCGTCATGTCATGATTACCTATTGTGTACACCTGGGATTCCCTTCCCTCATGTGTTTAAATAATCCTCGTTTCCCCTTGTCTTGTGCGAGTGCGTTTTCGTCTTCTTGTCCTTCGTCACCCCCACGCCAGGTTTGTTTTTGTCACAGTTTTTTCCACAGTCATAGTCTCAGTTTTGCCACAGTTTTGTCAATCGTTATTTTGTTACTTTGTCTCAGTCTTGTTTGCTTATTGCTTTGTTACTTTGATCACAGTTTTCCACAGCTTTGATTTGTACTTTGTTTGGACATTTACTCTGTTTTTTGTACAATAAACCTTGTCTCCCCCTCATCTCCGCAACTGAGTCCTCCCGTCAACACCCACCTCCCTGACAGTCATTTCCACCTGATGACCACAAGGTCTCAGCACGCATCTCTCTCTGTCTTTCTGACATATCAAAATGGATGAAAGCCTATCACTTTTAAAGATCATGTTACTTCTGTTTCTCGATCTTGTTGCTTCACACTACTAAACATAAGAAAGATCCGGCCATACCTAACCCACTCCTTTATTCGTTGTACTTCACTGGTTGCCCGCATCAAATTCAAGTCCCTGATGCTAGCCTATAAAGTGCTTAAGGTTACGGTTCCCATTTACTTGAAGTCTCTAGCAAAGGCTTATGTCACAACTCAGTTACTCCGGTTATCAATGGATTGTCGTCTAGCAGTGCTCACACCACCCTTAAGACAATCCCGACTGTTTTCATGTGTTTTCATGTGTTGTTCCAAGATGGTGGAATGACCTACAAAGGGCTACAAGAATAGTCTATCTTAAGGAAACTCTTAAAGACCCACCTCTTCAAAGAACATCTCCTATCCCCTTACCTCTATACCCCCTCTGCACTTCCCTCTATCTCTTTGCTGTCACCACTGATTCTGACTTTGGATTTTACACTACAGAACTTATTGTCAAATTGCTGATAACTGTAACATTGTGTCTACTTTGTAAGTCGCTTTGGATAAAAGCATCTGCTAAACATAAACATCACAATCAGCCCCTTACTTCACAAACATGGAATTCAGTTATTTTTAATACTTATTCATTTTGTCCAGTTTAATATCATCATCAAAATCATCATCACTGTCATTATTATTGCTATGATTTTTTTCCACTCTACATTTAAAAATGTAAAACATTTCAACATTAAACGCTCTTATCCATCACTCCTATTTTATGTTATTGTATGTTTCTATAGCAATACCATTAACTTACAATGAAGTATTCAAGTACTGTTAAGTGTCTGTTATGCCTGCACACAGTAACTGTGGCGGGGCGGACTCGTCCAAGACAAGTAGTTGTTTGACCAGATCAACGTTTGTCTCATTTAGATCCACATACAATATCCAATGACTGTGGTTTCTCCCTCTGTAATGTATCTCAGTTGGTGAAGAATAGTTAAATTAATCTATCTATTGAAAACAAGTTTCATCAAAGAAAATCCCTGACCTGACAGTACCTGAAAGGATGCTGTACATTAAGATAATGATAAACATGAGGCTGAGTTTAAAAAAGAACCTGCTTTTTTTTTAAATCTGTACAATCACCGATTCTATATATTGTAACTTTACTATGAGAATTTTTGCTCTAAGAATTTTATAGTTTTTTAAAATTTTATGAAGCAATTAACTATGAAGAGATCATATTTCCCTCCTCAAAAGTTTATATTGTCTTTTTGAGGCAATGAAGTTTAGCATTGGTTTGGGTAAACATTTGCGGGTCTGTTTGACCTTTGAAATACTTTCCTTATAGAAACTAGTTATCATGCTTGCCCTTTCTTGAATAAACAATCCTTTTGAGCAGTTCATTGGGAATACCTGTCCATAAAAAGCCACTCTGAAGTATGTTCCAAGCAGCCTGCGGCCCGAGTGAACCACCTCTTTGATTTTGCTGTAGGCTCTGTGGAGAGTTTCGTACAGTCGGCTCAGTTTCTGAAAAAATAAAACAGAGGTCTTTTTTTGCGATTGTTTGTTTAATGCTGTTTAAGTTTTACATGAAAAAAACTGTTACAGGATGAGCAAGCAACAGTGTGGATACATCAGTGTGGTGTAACACCATTGGACAACACTAGTTAAACAGAATGAGGTTGTGTTATGAAGTGTGAAATATTGAGGCCTGCCAAGCATGCTGTTGAACAGGGAGGTCTGCCATAGTGCTCTTTCAGAACATGTTTAACACAGTTTATGTTTTTTGATTTTTGATTTTTGATTAAACTGTCAGAATGCTAGATTTTTTTACTTTAACTTTTTTCCTAAATTTGGGAACGTGGAACTAAACATGGCACTGATTAGTATCAATCCAATCATAAAGTCGGGACCCCAAAAAAGCTGAGGAAACACTCTAAAGAGGTTTCTTATTTGCAGTTTTTATTATGAACCACTGCTTACCAGTAGTATCCGAATTCCACTGCCAATTATTTGAAGCTTGGCTATTATTTACCGCCATTTTTATTCAAACCCTTGGCAAAGTTACATAACTGTTTTTTTTTTATCTTCTTTTATGCACCAAATCTTGATAAGCGTCTTCTGCACTGGGAGTTCATAATGGTTTCACTCATATATGCCGAGTCATCTTTGACAGTGTTCTGTCAAAGAACAGGTTGAGCAAGTTTAGAGAATTGTTGGGCTGCTGGAGAATATTCTGACACTGCATCAATCCAAAATGCTTACCATTGAAATGAAGACAATTCCATTCAAAAAGGATTGAACATAAAAAAGTGACACCAGTACCTCATACTCATGACGCTTCTCATAAATAGGAATGATAAGCCTGGCGATGTGTGTGATGAGTTCATAGCGTTCTGCTTTCCACAAGGCTTCAACACAGACTTCAAGGTGTTCAACCAGAACTTCCTAAAAAGATGTAAAACAAAATTGCCGTAATTTAAATTAGTATAGTGCTCTTACACCAAAACCATGTTAAAGTGCCAAAAAAGTGATAACATTTTCTTAAATCACCAATCGACCAAATAGTTATCACTTTAAAAGGTAATCCTTGAAAAAATAAGAAACAAGTTTCACCTCAGTGTAGTAGACATCTTGCATTCCACTATCTTCCTTCATGGCAGCTTCTTCATCAATGTTAAATGTGATTTTTTTAAAAGCAGTGAGGCCACTGGGGAACAATTCTGGCAAATAATTAGCAAAGATCATTTTCAGCACAATATAATGCATTTTATTTACTAAAACTGCAATGGACTGTAGCTTCTGATGAAATGACAACAATGACTAAAAGAAAATCTATCAAATACAAATAGAAGTGTTATTTGTTGCTAAATAAGGGTCATGTGGTCTTGAGTAACTTTTGTAAATATAAAACAGATGGACTGCACTCTCACTGTGTCTATCTGATAGTAAACTTCATATGAAATGCAGATATTATACAGAGACAGACATATGTTATTCTTATAAAACTGCATATTGATGAGTTGCTGCTATTCAAGCCTTGCAAACCGCAAATAATCTTTGCTGACATTCCTTAAACTCAGTTACCTCACATTTGCCTGGAGCTATGGGACAGTTATGGGAATTTTATCATGCATTGCATTTCTTGGAAGATCAGTCCTCCAAAATAACCTTTAGGAAGTCTATTGTATGAAATTCCGGTCAGGGAACAGTGTGGTGTCAAACAAGCATTAGATATATAGTGTGTTTAAAAAATGTTTAAAAAAAAGGAGATTAGACTTACTCTTTCTGTGCAGGTATTCTGCAACCAGTGCAGCCACATGAACATAACACATGGCAGCCTATGGAGAAACCCACAAAGTTTGTTCATATTTTCCACAAAAAACTACTGGTGACAACTTTTCAAGTGAAACATATGTATTTTGTTTCTATTATCTTCTTACTTATGCATTGGGCTACTTACCCTTTACTTAGGCATAATCACCTGTCATAAACTATGAATGAAATTGTTATTACCGTTGTGTTTTTCTTTAAAATTCTGTCTGGGTATATTTAATATAAACAAAGAAAATAATGTATATAAAAAAACTAACAAAAACAATTGTTGAAGAAATTCAACAAATAGCTCTTAGCTCTAACTCTTGTATATTAACGTCTTATTCCTCTGATACAAAAATATTAATTAAAAAGTAAACACAACAACTCTTTGTTGTTTTAATAAATGGGGGAACATAACTGTTGAACTTTTCCTAATTATCTGCAAAGGAAAATATTTTCCTCCAAATTGATTAAAAAGAATATGAAAAGCTGGAGTTTATTTAATTTGGATATAGTATCAACACTTGTGGTTTTACCTTACAGGTATAGGTATTGCTGGGATCACCATGATATTCTCTACATACATGTTGTTATCAGTTAATATGATCAGCATCAGCTCTACTTATGTCTGTGATATATTACCTCATTCATATATTGTAATTAGAAAAAAATTTGCTATTGACTCAGGCGTTTTTTGTTTTTTTTCTGATTAATTACCTAATGATTAAAGAAATGCATTTAAAGTTAGCCCTCGCTCTGTTTATATTAACTGGACCACCCATGTCCATGCTTTGTTGTACTGTTGATTTTTGGACTTCCTCTTCTATTCTGTTCCCTGACTGAGTATGAGAAAATAGAACATTAAAAACATTTTTAAAAAACATATGTAAACGTCTAACACAGCATCAGTACCTCTTGTTTACTTTTGCTTAAGTCACTCTTTGTTTCGTTGTGACCCTAAATAAATTATAATTTGAGCATGTGCATAGTGAAACAGCTATCACTCTATTTGTATTTAAGGTATGTGTGACGGTTTTGATGCATCAATATAACAAATCCTGAAGGGTGTTTGTTCTTTCTGTTGCTATCGAGGATAGGGGTAGATCAGACTATTCTTGTCTTTGTTGTCAGTCTTTTTTAAATTTGTGATTGATAAAAGTTGTGTAACTGGCATTTGTATAACTGACAATAACTGACATAAATTTATCAGAAAACCAGGCTGTGGCTGTAACATTAGTTTCACATGACTGGAGTAAAAAAGCAGATAAGGGGAAACATTTAGATACAGATGGAACACACTGTGAGACAGAAATGTTCTAATATTGTCAGCTATTACCTCAGAGAAATCCCCATTTTTTAGGTGTGCTCTCGCCATGCTGTCCAACCAGGTCCGCCTGAGCTCTGGAGTGCTGGCATAAGACCGGGCCAGGCTGTACTGAAGATCCAGCAGCATTTCAGGGTCTTTTTCATGCTCTCTCATCTGGGCTGTGGCCATCAGCACTGTACGTATGCGCTTGGTCAGACCCTTCACTTCTGAAGGGAATGGTGTGGACTAAATGATGTGAAAATACATACAACATCAGATCTACCATAGAGATATACTATGCCCAAAATGTGTTTGTCTTAGCTTTGACAACACCCTGTGGGCTTTGATGGAAACATGATTGATCATAAATACATGAAAGTCAAGGTGAGTAACTTTTCTGGCTTTTGCATTCTGAATGGAATCATTATAAAATTATAATTTTATTTCATTTATAATAAAATTACAATTTTATTAAATTATATATTTATTATTATAAAATAATCATACATTCAGGGGTTTTCTGCTTTACCTTCATGGCCTTGTCACTGTTTGCAAAGTTGTTGATGATAGAGAGTGACTCCTGGAAACGAGAACTGCCTGTCAGCGCCACATCAGAGATCAGGTGACTCACAGCAATGATGATCTGAGGAGGAAGAAATAAACAATGTGGGTGAGACAATGAAGATAAGTTGGGGGAAATAGAAAACAGACCAGTCTTCAAATTGTGTTTGTGCAACATTACTACTCCACTGAGAATTTATTGGAAGCACAACAAAATGTGCTACTATCTTTGTAAGAAAGCCAGAAACATAGCAGACCATCTATTCTTAAAATGTTTAAAGTTCTACTTTACATTTGTCAACTTCTGTAAAAATGCAACTGGGGCACTAAAAGGTCTAAAATAAATCAGTGGTGCACAGTAAAATGAGGAAACCACCAGGTTATACTGACTGTGGATATTGTTCACTGAGTATAGATATGACATCAAGAGGGATGACATGAATCTCTTCAACTAGACTTCTAGTTACCTGCAAGTGTGTACGTAGGAAGGTCTTCCTCTTGGTGTGCTCGTAATTGTTTCTCATCAGCAAGTAAAGCAGTGCAGATGCCTCTGCCCTCAGGGACCCCAGTTTCGAGACACAGCACTTGAGCACCTCGCAGCAGAGAGCTTCACATAGCGTTACGCGACCCTTAAAGAGCACCAATGGGAACTGATGGGACAGCATGTTAGTGTATCAAAAGCAGGCTCTGAGTGGGCAGTGGGATTAGAAGAACAGTAAGTGTACTATATATGTTGGGAAAACAGCAGAAACACAGCAGAGAGCATAATAAAACATTAGTTTTTGCACTTTAGCAACAGCTGTGATCGGATTTAACAGGATTTAACAGGATTTGATGGGATTTGACAGTATTCTCAAAATTTCAATCTTCCTTCATCCATTTTACAAATATATAAAATAAAATATAATATTTATATTTGATCCATCAAACATTTGCTAGAAACAGAAAGGAGAAAATGTATCAAGCACTATAGAAGAAGGGCAGTTATGGACATATGTAGTTTATCTTGTTTAATAAGCTATATCTGTCATGCCCGCCCTGTGATTAAGAATCAAATTGTAAGAATTAAGAATAAAAGCATAGCGTGTCATTTCCAAGCTTGGGATCCAAACGAAAATCTATCTATCTGTAAATATATAAATGGCCTTAAAAATAAAAAAGCCTAAGTTGTACCAATTGATTTTAGGAAAATATTTTCTCTTATATTTCAACTTTATTTTTTAAATCATATATTCCTGTTTTTAAAAACCTATTTATTCACTTTATCATGTTGTCTAATCTAATTCACCATCACATTTTATTTGAATTTTACTTGAATTTGATCTTTTTAAAAATGTTTTTTCAATACTTTAATATCTATAAATTAACTTATTCTGCCTAATGGTATATTTGTGTATTTTAGTGCATTTGTTCTCCCACAGCAATTTATTGTTATTTCAAGACATTACTTAACAGTCCCATTTCATTTACCTTCCTCATTTATTTTTGTAATATATTTCATGCTTAACTGTGATAATTTAATAGTGTTGTCACTTTGTGATCGTATGAAAAGGGAGTAAGCTGTTCAGTGAACAAATTAGTATACAAGACATTTTTAATGTTACTCTTACGCTTATCTTTTTAAACATATTTTCCATATTTGGATTGGTATACATTAGAATATTCATGGTATTTACACCAAGAAGATGTTTACTGTCAGTGGTTGTGAAGAGAGACAAGCTTCTCATACTTGTAAAGTGAAAGAGAAAACATGCCAGAACAGAGTCTCCTCTGATTCAACACATAGGCAGCCAAACCGAAAACATTATGGCATGTCAGTTGGAATGGGTGGGCCACTCCCTTGAAGTCAGCACGTACTCCCTTGTTTATCTGATATATCATGCTGTAGCTAAAGGTGCAAATTAAATATGTCAATAAGAAATTTAAGAATACATAAGATAAGGAGAAGTAAGACAAAGTGAGAGTATCAGAACTTGACAGCAGTGACACCAACAAATTCAGAAAGCAAGAATGTTGATTGTGCATTTTTCTAGAAAACTAGCTCACTGCAGAGCACTGGTGTTTTGTATGTTGTCTAGATGTTACGAATTATGGAGAGCGGAAGAATCCCTGGTAATGGCAGCACAAGTGGCAGGAAACAATTTATATTTGTTAAAAAGTACTTACGCACACACACACACACACACACACACACACACACACACACACACACACACACAGAGACACACACGCACACACACACACACACACATATACAGGGGTTGGACAATGAAACTGAAACACCTCTCATTTTAGTGTGGGAAGTTTCATGGCTAAATTGGACCAGCCTGGTGGCCAATCTTCATTAATTGCGCATTGAACCAATAAGAGCAGACTGTGAAGGTCCAATAAGCAGGGTAAAAGCACAGTTTTGCTCAAAATATTGCAATGCACACAACATTATGGGTGACATACCAGAGTTCAAAAAAGGACCAATTGTTGGTGTGCGTCTTGCTGGCGCATCTGTGACCAAGACAGCAAGTCTTTGTGATGAATCAAGAGCCACGGTATCCAGGGTAAGGTCAGCATACCACCAAGAAGGACGAACCACGTCCAACAGGATTAACGGTGGACGCAAGAGGAAGCTGTCTGAAAGGGATGTTCGGGTGCTAACCCGGATTCTATCCAAAAAACATAAAACCACGGCTGCCCAAATCACGGCAGAATTAAATCTGCAGCTCAACTTTCCTGTTTCCAGCAAAACTGTCCGTCGGGAGCTCCACAGGGTCAATATACACGGCCGGGCTGCTATAGCCAAACCTTTGGTCACTCGTGCCAATGCCAAACGTCGGTTTCAGTGGTGCAAGGAGCGCAAATCTTGGGATGTGGACAATGTGAAACATGTATTGTTCTCTGATGAGTCCGCCTTTACTGTTTTCCCCACATCCGGGAGAGTTACGGTGTGGAGAAGTCCCAAAGAAGCGTACAACCCAGACTCTTGCATGCCCAGAGTGAAGCATGGGGGTGGATCAGTGATGGTTTGGGCTGCAGTATCATGGCATTCCCTTGGCCCCATACCTGTGCTAGATGGGCGCGTCACTGCCAAGGACTACCGAACCATTCTGGAGGACCATGTGCATCCAATGGTTCAAACACTGTATCGTGAAGGAGGTGCCGTGTATCAGGATGACAATGCACCAATACACACAGCAAGACTGGTGAAAGATTGGTTTGATGAACATGAAAGTGAAGTTGAACATCTCCCATGGCCTGCACAGTCAGCAGATCTAAATATTATTGAGCCACTTTGGGGTGTTTTGCAGGAGCGAGTCAGGAAACATTTTCCTCCACCAGCATCACGTCGTGACCTGGCCACTATCCTGCAAGAAAAATGGCTTAAAATCCCTCTGACCACTGTGCAGGACTTGTATATGTCATTCCCAAGACGAATTGACGCTGTATTGGCTGCAAAAGGAGGCCCTACACCATACTGATAAATGATTGTGGTCTAAAACCAGGTGTTTCAGTTTCATTGTCCAACCCCTGTATATATATATGGACATGCACCTTATTGATGAAAGCCCGGAGTGCTGCAAAGACTTGTTTGAAAGCAGCTTCTGATTGGCCAACTTTGAGGAAAGTCAGGTAAACATCAAACACCTTTTTCATGAGGGGGTTGTGACCTTCGCTGTCCAGCAGCTGGGTCTGAGCAGAACACACACATAACACTCACAGGTTTTCTCAGAGGAATATTTCACTGTAACAAGATGACCAAACTCGCCACCAGTGTTTTATCACTGGTGTTTGAGCAGTCATACAACAGAACAACTATCTAAATAACCTATATAAAGAGCATCAGTGTTTTGTGTGTGTGTGTGTGCTGACCTTAAAACACTGAGTGAAAAGCGACACAACATCTAACACACTGAGGCACACTTCAGTGGAGATGTTGCCTTCCAGCATAGCCTGATGGTGGATTTCTGCCTCTGAAGGACCTGTCCCTTCAATACAAATACACGCATAGAATATGCACATATAAAACAAATTAATAGAGTGAATGGTTATGGTTCACTTAGGAATTCTGACACAAAATGCCAACGTTTAACACGTTTTGGTGAACTTGTCCATGTTTATATTTACACTAACAACTTGTGTGGCTGTTAAACCGTTTAGATTTTTACATAATATAACATTTTAAACCATGTGCAATTTTATCATCTGTAAGTTGTAAATGGTAATATGCAGCTGCATAAAATTTGTTAAGTCACACCATGCCTGATGCCTTGGCTACCCACACAGTCTGCATGAATACTCTGGAATGTTAACAAGGAAACTATTGTGAAAATCATAACATTAAAAACACACAATATACCAGGTGTGAAGCTATGTATTGTATATGTATGTATGTGCAGTGAAAATAGATTTTTAGCATATTTTGGTTTGATTTGGTAGTTTTAATCAAGATCTTATAAAAAACAGTTGTTCTTTGTTGGATCTAAATAGCAGAGACATTAGTAAATATATATCTTTAAAACCAGTTATTGTGAAAATTAGGCTAATTTCTTATTTAAAAAGCAAACATGCCAAGGCAACACATCTAAAACCACCCTTTGTGGTCAAAATATTTCTCATGACATTCATCAAAAAGTGAAGCCTCAAATAATCTCTTTGCAAAAAAAAGCAGCACATTCACATTGTGGCACAACTTTAGGCATTGTTGCTTCTGGGAGGACCAAGTATTCAGTACATGTACAAAAACTATTAGGATTTTATTGAGTTCTGCCATTACAGTCGTTGTAATGATTGTTTGTAGTGTCTTGCTATGACTGTCTCTCAAAACATTTCTTTTTGATAACCACAGTATGGGACAGGTCTGTCAGGTTTACTTTGCAACAGCTCACCTGATGGTCTCCTGACTATATCTCTACAATTATGTCTGTCAAGTTCTAACTTTGTTTTCACAGGGGCTGTCAAACAGGTTTCAGGGAAGACGTTTTTTGTGCCCTGTACCAGGCTGACACTTGCAAAGAAATGTGACACTTGTTAACCGGTTGGGGGAAAATTCTTTGGAAACTGTTGCCATACAATAAACGTGATGTCAATTCATTTTTTTCATTGCATTTACATTATGAACAAAGTGTGTAACTTTCTGTATGTCTACATGACCTGAATTACTGAATAAATAATTGCCTGAACTGCATTTCTTTCAGTTAACGTGTCATAAAACCTGTTAGGAAAATCAACCATGAAGATAAAGTCCTTTGCATGTTAACTGGAAGGTGTGGTTACCTATGTTGAGACTAAGAGAGGCTTCCATGGTATTGAATTGGTGTATCTTAGACTGCATGAGACTGGCACGGTTGCAGCGCATGGCTGGCATAGTCTGAGATTTCCTATCTGTTGAGAAGAGCTTTGACATGCACATCTCTTGGTTCCTGGATGGACAGGATATAAACAGTAGAAAGAATGCAACCATTTGTTTTTGGGAAGACATAAAAAAAAGACAACAACTTCAAAACTAAAACCTTCTCACTAAACTGCACACATCTGACATCTTTTATAAAGATTGAGTGCATGGAGAAGGATCATAACTTTAAAAGAGCTAAAAACATTACTGCACACAAAAGACAGGGAAACAAGTAACCAAACAATTTCAGCGTGACAATGAAATCAACCACGACATCTTGAATTCATGCTTCACTAAAAATTAACTATATATATAAGCAGGATAAACTGTTACAGTTTTTAAAAATTACCTGCCAATGTTCCTCTTTCCCATGTAACGGAACTGATCTAGACAGATCCTGCAAAAAAAAACAACAGAAAAAGCAAGTAATCTTCAAGGTTTACCAAACTTTCTATCACTTACGGGTTGCTGTGGGATGCCAAAACAGGAGTATCATTTTAAAAAATCCCATACACATGTACTATTAGAAAAAGCATTTTTCACATAAGACTCACTGAAGCAAGCTGAGGAAGTTCATGTTGTCTTGTGGGCTGATTTTGTTCCAGTATGCCATCAGAGTGTCTGCAGACACAAAGAATAACAAAGTTTATGTTTTATGTTCTTTTTTTCCCTTTTTTTTTTTACAGGGTGTAGTTAAATAAGTCATACGGCTTGGCTGACAGTATTTTGACTCAGTAAAGTACAGCTCATCACTGACCCTCTGACAAAGTCTTGACTATGTGCAGGGAAGAGAAGAGGAGGCCTTTAATCTCATACTGTCCCAGTTTACTGGCAGGAGCCCTGGTACTGCTGCTTATGGTGGAGGCACGCCGATGGAACTGCAACAGAGCAAAGACACAACGACCTACTTGGTCAAATAGTAAAGACAGGACTTGAGAAGAAGTAAATCGGAAACTTGCTTCTACATTAATGCACAGTCACATCAAAAGAGGAAAAACGAGGGCCCAGAGCTGCACGAAAACAAATTGTTGTTGGATTGTGTAAGAAGCTAACTTTTTTTTATATCATAATGCCAACCATACATTTCAATGTATTTGTACCTTCTGTTCCGTTCATATTCAGGTGACAACTGTATATAAGCAGGAAATGACAGTGAACTTAATGGAACACCAGCTTTCCAAAAATTAAAGAAATACTTCCAATCTTCCTAACTTCCTAACTTGGGGGGGGGTGTCGCTTCAGGGCCCTTTTCCAATTCTGTGATATAACCTATGATGAAAAGATCTCACCTCAATGCTGTCTTGTGTTCCGGGGTCCATAAACAAAGAGCTTCTGGAGTCCTCTCTCCTCACAGCATGGCAATTCTGAGCTGACAGACCTGAAATCAGTAAGTAGAGCTGTAATGCAAATTTTAAGTAACAGGATATGTTAGTAATCTGTTTATTTTGCTGACTATTTTGTTGTTAAGAATGGCAATCGAAGAGCAAATGTTTTTTTTTTCAAAATGGTAAGCCTACCACTTACACGGAACACTAGAAGCCAGTGAAAACAGCTTTTCAATTGCAATAAAATAAAAATTCTGTTTTGAAACAAAAAATCCAATAGTCCAAAATATCAATATTTTAACCTGCAGGTGAAGATCTGAATCTCAGATGCTTTGATTTATTTTTGCAAACACCCAACTTTAAAAAAAGCCCAAGGCTGAATGGCTACTGTGCACTCAACATCTTGACCAACTGCCGTCTATCAGAGGTATGTAAGAACAGTAATCAAGAAATCAAGGTGTTTTGAAAGTTTCTTCTTATTTCTCTTTCTAGCAATATTAATGCCATATCCTCACACGTAGGAGCTACTTTGATCTTAACATCAGTATCATTGTGTTGCAAGTGAATGATGTGCAAATAAAAAGTATTTAACAAGGTAGTGGCATCCGAACTTGGAAAGCTGTCTGTAGGAACTAATCCCAAGAAGAAATGAAGAATAATGTCCTTGCATGTCTGGTACACAGCTGCTGCTTTCAGACAGAGTGCTGCTAATGGACTAAGATTGGATGTTGTATACACATAGCTGTGTAGCTGTGGTACTGAGGGCTATGGGTGATGATAACAGTGAATCATCTGTCAACAGGAAGAGGTCAGAAGACATATGCTTGGTGCTATATCTGCGGTTGTCAACTCACCATGGTCTTTGTCAATCGTGGTACTGATTCTCCGGTTGTCGATCGAGCTGGCTGACATCAAGTCATCTCTGGAGCCCTGGCCAACATGCAAAGAGGAAAAAGTCAAATTTTGTCTTCTAATCCATACAGGGCTCATGCGTCTCTGTGTGAGAAAAACATACATCTTCAACACATATTAAAATAATGTTTAATCTGACCAATCTTACAGGATTGCGAAAAAAAAAACTTTCATGGAAAAAACCATAACTGATGTCACTATTACTAAATGTAATAGGACACTTTAAAGGATCACTTTATTGATTCAGTGATTTATGCAAAAGGTGACTCACACTGAGGCCAAGTCCATAGATTGTAGTCTGAGGTGGAGCAGACAGCTGCTCGAGGTTCTGGTAGAGCAGCTCATAAAGCGGCAGGTACAACATACAAATTCTTGCTTGCTGGTTCTGAGACATTTGATATGACAACATTAGAACTTAGGTAATCTTATCAAAAGCTATGTATGAATTTTCGGAATCAGAATCAGAAATTGCTTTGTTCACCAAATGTACAGAGTACACAGGAATTTGACCTGGTGTCCCAAGGCAACAAGACAGTTTAAAAAACAAAATCTGAATAATGAACAACATGACATGAGGCAACCGAACCAGACTAAATTACTACCTGGGTTATGGGTGAAGCCATGTTGATTTATCCTGAATTTGAACATCTCCCATCTCAAGCTGTTATCAATGGCACCTGTAGCCAAACATTGGCTTGTTTGCATAACAGAACTGGTATCTTGTTATTGGGTGTAAAAACATAGTCTATTATGTGAAGACCTGGCAATTCGTGCCATGTTAATCATTAACCTTCTGTATGCAAACAGTTAGGTCCTGTTCCAAACGGAAGAGTTAAACAAAGTTAACTTGTTGTCAATTTGAAGGTTTTCAGAAATCTCAGAATATTTGATGGAATTATGATCTTTTTAAAGACCTTGTTATATATTCTGCCTTTTTTTGGAGTTTGTTTCAGTGTATTCATATTTATGCATTTATTTATGTTGCTCTAATTTTCAAACTTAATTGTCGAGGGGACCGAGGAAGGATTATGTGTTCTACCATGTAGTGCATATTCTAGTCTGTTTCTCTTTCCTCTTCTCATCCTGTCATCATCATTTACAGGTAATTACTCTTGCCCTTCTTACCTTGAATGCTGTGTAGCGGTCATCCATGGCATGTTTAATCAGGAGGTTCTTGAGGATGCTCACAGCTAACTGTCGGACTTCAGGCGCTTGCTGCAAAGCAACTGCCATCTCTCTAAGCAGCAGACCCACCAGAAAGTGGTTACGGCAATATTCCTCTGTCAAGTTGAACTCCAGACTCTGCTCTATAGTTGCATCAGACAGGAACAAAGTCTATTAGTATCGACAGAATACAGGCAAATTCAGCATGGTAAAAATCTGCCCACGTTGTGAATGTAAAAGTAGGTGAACAACTTTTTAAATAAATAGCTGGTGGATAGTGTACAGGTCATTCACACATTACACATAGAGACAGAAAACGGAAACTCCCAATAATATCTCCGAAAATGGATGGTACCATTTATGAATAAGCCCCTAAATACTAAAAAAATAACATGTTCATTTAAATCACACAACATTTTCTGTATAAACTGTGACAAATTGATATTTCTTTTTAATCATAACTTTTGACTAGCCAAATGTGTTAAAATGTATAACTTAACAATTGATCTAATATTTTCTCTACAATTTTGTTTTTATCCTTTTCTTAGCATTTTTATCATTTTTTTTCCTTAGGCCTTTATTGTGTTATTTTCAACTCACTGCTCCCTCAATACAGTTTATCCCTTTTTACCTTTTTAAAAGATTAAAGGGATATTAAGATTAATTTAATTGACACAAAATTTGCAGTGGTGAGACGGAGTGTGTATGGTTGTTGTGGTGTGATAGCAACCTGTTAAGGGTTTCCTTTTTTACTAGGAAAGGATCAAGCAACCCATGACCCTGAATTAAAGAAAGTTAGTAGAGAGAATATATTTGTGAAAACACACACATATCTTCTAGCAAGGATTGGATTTGGCCCTTTCAGTCCTCGATAAGAGTATCAGACATGCAACATGAAACAAATAAAATCAGCTTAAATAATTCCTTGTGACTAAACACTCTTACAATATTGTGAATTGTTCTAATTTAGGGCGGCACGGTTGGGTGGTGGTTAGCACCGTCGCCTCACAGCAAGAAGGCTCTGGCTTTGAGTCCTGGGGGACCCAGGACCTTTCTGTGTGGAGTTTGCATGTTCTCCCTATGTCTGCGTGGGTTCTCTCTGGGTTCTCCGGCTTCCTCCCACAGTCCAAAAACCTGCATGTCAGGTTGATTGGACATTCCAAATTGCTCTTATGAGTGAGTGTGAGTGTGTGTGGTTGTTTGTCCTTGTATGTCTTGTGTGTGGCCCTGCGATGGACTGGCGTACTGTCCAGGGTGTACCCCGCCTCTCGCCCATTAACCACTGGGATAGGCTCCAGTTCCCCCCGCGACCCCATTGGGGAATAAGCGGTAACGATAATGAAAGGATGGATGGATGTTCTAATTTACTACAGATGCAAACTGTGACATATAGAATCATTCAATGTGCAAAACTGAGTCAACAGATACATTTCATGATAATGAAAAAAATTAAAGTAACTGATTAAACAAATCTTAAATGCGGACAACTTCAAAATTGTCAATTCTCAATATTCACAAGCAATACATTAAAAGAATAAATAAACAGGCTACCATGGAAGAGACATTATACGTTTCAACAGACATCTCATTTTAAAAACAAAGCATCAGAAACCATCAGCAATTATCTTCTCCAGTGTCAGAGCCAAAGAGAAACCAATGATTAGAGATAAGTCCCAGCAAACAACACAAGAGCAGCAATGAGACATGACTTTCTCTCTTTCTATCTTTACAAGTATCCAGTCAATTAAGCATTAAGAAAAAAAAGAATTGGTTGATTTTTCAAAAGCCAAGCTTTATTCTTCTACAACATGCTGGCCCAAACCCAGGCAGACACACAAAGCAGAAGAGTACAGCATGAACATATTTCAGGGTGAGTTGGAAAAATTTAGAGGTCTGTAAGAAAGGTAGCCAATAGAGGCTGATGGCGGCTGAGCAGGTTAATATTGGTCAAAACAAAAGCATTCATGAGCAAAGTGTTTGCAGTAAGCATGATGCATTTTATGGAGTTTAACATCACCTACCTACAGGGCCAAATAGCTCCATCGCATATGGAATAAAATCTGATCACGAGTACAACACAAACAAATACAAAACAAAAAACACAAAAACAAAGCTGGGAGTAAACATAAAGAACTGTCGGGTAAACTGTAAACAAACCATGCAGCGCTTTCACTTCTAGTTGTGGAAAAACGTGTCGGGAAGTGGTAAGCTAATATGTGACAGAAAATCTTAATAGTACCAGTTAGGAATAAGATGTAACCTGTGTGTGCTAAGGCTAAACAATCAAGCATCTTAGAAAAGGGCTTCAGTGTGGTGGACACAATTTAAATCATGAATACAGCATATGGATGTGTGAGAGCTAGAAGGTGGGTGTGTGTGATATGAACCCCCCTAAAATTTGTCTGATTCTCACCTTGTACCCTCTGCAGCTTTGTGCGCCCAAAGGCCATGGGCAGGTTAAGAGGGATGAAGTGTTCGTGGCAACACACTGTCATCAAGAACTCCAATTTCATTTCAGTCAGCACCTGGGACAAATACATGAGCGCATGTAACTTTGTGCTGCAAACATGCACACAAATTACTGCCAACAACCTTAAAGAATAAATAGAATTGTTCAAACATAGCCAGTACAGTTGTGTGTGTCAGTGTTGTTGAAATTTGTTAGTCAAATGTGCTGCTAGCTTCAAAAGACACCGCAGGCGAGACAGATCGTATTAGCTGATTTAACATATGAGCTTGCCTTTCAAGTAACAACTCGTAATGTGCATTTCAGGAATCATGGAGGGAAAGGGGTCTTTAAAAACAAATAATCTTTGTAAAAGATTTTAAAACGTCAGGAGGGACATGCCTGCCTAAAACATTTTCATTTACTTTGGGTCAAATTTAAATGTTTTAGTCTATTAAAGAACACAGTAGTTGTACATATATAATTCTCTGATTTAATGAAAATGTTAAATCATGGCTTTAGAATAAAACCATGTTTATAGTTATGGAGGGGAACTAATTTGTATACTTTCCAACAGGGTGTAAGTGTGTTGGTTCTGTTCCGTCAGGCTAGTACCTTTGGATCTTTGAGGCTAAAATGACACATATAATGGTTGACAAGTCCAAATGCGAAGCCCCTGTTCATGAAGGTCAGGCACCTCTGCGGAGAGAAATCATACAAAATTCTGAGCCTGAATTTATCAATCAAAACAGACCTGTTGTGCCTCAAAAAGATATTCCAGCAGATCAATGACACCTATACAAGCTAAGTGTAAAAAAGAAAATGAAAAGAACCTTTCATAACATAAGACTTGTTTTATATTTAGCATCTGGGGTCAGACCTTCATGAAATTTGCCAGACTTAGGTTGATGCACCGGGCCTCTTCTGGAATTTCCATGTGGCGAATGGTGATGTGTGGCATAATGGACAATACCAGAGATTGAAGTGCTTGGTGAAAGCTGTCAGGGAAGCGCTGGGTCCGCGGCATCTAAAGAGTTTCAGCAGGGACTTAATGAAGTCATGATTACTTACATCAAAAGTGAAATGTGTAACAACAAAGTAACTATGAACACAGATCATGAGTTAATAAGCTCAAAGGTGTTTTCATTTCAGATATAAGAGATAACCCAATCTTAATAGCAGCTTTTCTGTACTTGCTGAATGTAGGTTAGGACATAGATACATTCCAGAGCTATGGTGTCACTATGCAGAGTTTAAACAGATTAATAATGAGCCACTGTTAGTCTTCTGTTCTTTTACTTTAAGTGTGTGAGGTTTGTTTAAATGTGCTGACATTATTTGCAACTTTGCAAACAGTACAGTGAAAACAAGTGACATCCATGCCAGATAAGGACAGCGGCGAGATGTTAATAGTAACATTGCTACATAATGTTATTATTGACACCATATTGTGCCAGAAATCCAGATCAATACAAACCTTTATACGGTTGAACTCTTGCAGATACTGGGCCATGGATTTTGCCGTGGTTTCAAAGAAGAACCAGGAGTACTGTAGACAGAGATATTAAGATTTCAACTTCCCTGATTTTTTTTTTACTGTTAAGCCTTCCCAGTAATTTCTAAAGACAAGGGAATAACAGGAAAGATTACGATGATGGAAAAAATTACCCTGACACAACATTTACGGGGGTGAAGCCTGGAGGAGCAAGCAACTGCATGTTTAAAGATTTGATCACCTTACAATGGAGACACACACAGTAATGGTCATCTTAGTTAAGTATGCCAAATTCTGTTTAAAGTCAGTGTTACAGCTTACAAAGGGAAAAAAAAATTTTAAATTCCCAGAATTTTACTGTTAAGGCTTCCCAGTAATTTCTAAAGACAAGTGAATAATAGGAATGATTCTGATAATGGAAAAAATGGCCCTGACACAACATTTACAGGGGTGAAGCCTGGAGGGGCAAGCAACTACATGTTTAAAGGTTTCATCACCTTACAATGAAGACACACGCAGTAATGGTCATCTTAGTTAAGTATGCCACCTTCTGTTTAAAGTTGGTGTTACAGCTTACAAAGGGACAAAAAAGCACTCCGTATACCTTAAGCAGTTTATTGCTGGTGTTGAAATCAGCAGTTTGTTTAAGGATGGCAGTCACTGCCATGGCCAGCACCTCGTGAGTTGTTGCAGAGTTTCCTGACGTACATGTATTTGTCACAAAGACAAACTAAGGGAAGACACAACATATACTCATATTTATGCCATGCTTCAAAGACAACTGACACAAAAATGCATTGGTTTTGGATTAATTAATTTTACCTTAACAAAAGAGCGCAGGTAGGCTTCCAGTCCTTCTTCATGACATCTAGAGACTATATGTATGATCACTCTGAAGGTACAAATGCATGGAAATGTCCATGTTTATCAGGTCTGAAATACTAACAACTGAATCTGCTTCATATACAACTAACCGGAGAGAGTTGACAGCAATCTCATGGGCTTCTTTGGTGGCTGTGGTAAGCACCTCAAACAGCTGTATTAGCACTGTTGGTAAGAAAGTGATGACTACATGAGTCTCTACTGCATGTAGGCACTGTAGGAGAAATGGTGACAGAGAGCAATAGTTAGGAGTCAGCAGCAAGTATTGGTTTTAATCTTGTGGCTGTATAATGCAAAAGTCAATAAGGTTGTGGAACAAAGCTGAATATGTCATCATTTGTAAAACAAAAATCATTTTAAAAATCGTCATTCTTTCCATGAAAATGAAAAAAATAGATTTGTCAAAATTCTCCACATAATCCCTATTTGGACAGCAGACAGGTATGTCTAGCGCCAGTCAGTCCTGTTCCTCAGTCATTGATGCAATTACACTTTGATATATGAAAAGCCATTCCAGCATTTTTCTTGAAGAACATTCAACAGTTTCTTAAAAATCTGTTGACAACCCAAATAATCTCTGCTCGTCAAACTCTCAGCCTTTCATGCACAACAATCTGTTGTTATTGTATGTCAATTTAGGTTGTTCTTTTTAATTTGAAAAAAAAAATAATGTGGTTGTTTTGGTTTTACAAATGACATATCGGCAAGCAGGAGAAACAGACATCCAGGCTCATTCAGCCTGCATTGAAAGAAAACTCAAAGAGGAAGAATGACTGCATTGTTTAATGCATTTGTCATGTCATCTCAACATTTTCTTATTTCAGTTTGTAAAGTATCTCCTTGGGATGAGTCAAAACACAATATACCGTGTGTTCATCCAAAGATGTTGAACTAGATTACGGCTTTTCTAAACTAGAAAACAGCCTGAAATGCTAAAATTAGGAGGAAGATTTCTGAGACTTTTACTGTCTGAAACTGACCAGCTAGAACACATAAAAACATGACTTTAAATTAATTTGACTACCAACTTTGATTACTCACATTTCAGTTTGTCATTGTTTGTCATATATTGTTCTTGGATATTTATTTGAATTTCTATTCTTTTAATTCTTCTTGTTTCATAACAAGAAATTCTAGTGTTTTACCAGTTTTATGGTTGTTTTAACAATAAAAAGAACTTTATAAATTTCTCACAAATGACTATTAAACATCTCAATTTGAGCTAAAATGGCATGCTGATACGTATATCTGATAAAGGATTCATCGCTGTGCAAAAAAATTATTAATATCTGAAGACTGACCATTTCATGCTAATGAATTACATCACCAACAGCACCTAACCTTTAGGTATTTAATGAGTTCAGCGGGGTTGTCCTCTGATGTTGCCCTCATCTGTTGGCAGTGCTGGAAGAAGGTATGCAGATGGAAATCCTGAAGGCAAAAAAAAAAAATCTGGAACATCAGCATCATGGCAACACTTTCTCACCTATTGCAGATATTTTCATTTATATTTTTTATTGAAGGATGCAAGTGTGGAAAGGTAACAATAATGCATGCATACCTGAGGATATATGGTTGATGCTACACGACTTCTCACTTTGAACAGTGTCTTTGCATTTTCCACCCACTTAATATCTGGTTGGGACTGTACAAAGACCACACAACAAACCAAACATAGTGAGCATAGCTCTGGCACAATTTATCTTCAAGTTCACAAGTAGACATCTTAGTTACATTCCGATTATTCAAACATAAAAAATAGAAAATGTGTCTGTGTTGTCAATACTGATGTCACTTCTTTTTATCAAAGAATTTGGGGAGAACAAAAGTACTCCAGTGGCTGTATGGGAAAATTGGGTTTACCTTTTTGCTGTTCTGACAAAGATATCCAGTGGGCAGTGTAGCAGCTACAGGTAACTGGACTTCTGATGACTGTATCCTTCCATCTTTCAGTAAAGGCATCCATGAATAGCCCACTGACATGTATAAAGTGGTTAAATATAAGCAATATAGATAGGCACAATATCACAGCTAAAAATCTATATGTCAGTCAAAGGTTCACAATACCTATCCTGATTTTGCTGTAATTATTAAGAAACTGTTTTTTTTTAAATAAAGTCGTCACAGACTGACTCACCTAGGGACTCCACTCCATCTCTCTTCTTGCTGCTGGCCTTGGCGCTTGAGTCACAGCTGATGTGGTAAAATGTGAAGAGGATGTGGTGTTTTTCGTGCAGGTGGACCGGCAGCTCAATCTTAACCTGCATATAGTGGAAAAACCTCTGTCAATTTCTATTTTGACACAGTATACTGACACTTATAGAATGCAGCCCAATCACTACTTACCCATGGCCATGTGTTTACCTATATAGATTACACTATATTACAGAAACAGCATACACATTTATTGAAAAGATGGAGGCTTTTTAGAGTACAGAATGTAAGAGGGATATTGATTTTTAAAATGACTTAAGTACTTTAAGATCCATTCTTCCATCCATTATCGTTACCGCTTATTCCCTAATGGGGTAGTGGGCAGAACTGGAGCCTATCCCAGTGTCCAATGGGCGAAAGGCGGGGTACATCCTGGATTGCAGGGCCACACACAAGGACAAACAACCATGCACACTCACACTCACCCCTAAGGGCAATTTGGAATGTCCAATCGACCTAACATGCAGGTTTTTGGACTGTGGGAGGAAGCCGGAGAACGCGGAGAGAACCCAAGCGGACACAGGGAGAACATGCAAACTCCACACAGAAAGGTCTTGGGTCCCCTGGGACTCGAACCCAGATCCTTCTTGCTTTGAGGCGATCGTGCTAACCACCACCATGCCACCCTACTCTAAGATCCATGTTCATTGTTCCTCCGCTTATCAGGGGCTGGGTCATTGGAGCAGCAGCTTAAGCAAGGAGGCCCAGACTTCCCCTTTCCCTGCCACTTCTGCCAGCTCCTCCAGAGAGATCCTAAAGTGTTTCCAGGCCAGCCGAGAAACATAGTCCTTCCAGCATGTCCTGAGTCTTCCTCTGGGTCTCCCGGAACACCTAACCAGGGAGATCCCCGAGCCACCTCAATTGACTTCATCAAAGGGAGGGGCTGCCACCTTATTGTACTCTAATAATGTTACCTTCATGCTAGGAAAGGTGCCTTTATATTCTAAGAGATTTGACACATTAATAATTCGAAGAATGTCTAGTCCATATTTTATTTTGCACCATTGAGACAGCGTTGTTCCTTGCATTAGCATTTGCTATCTTACTGATAAGAAACTTCTGACTGGGGAGGACACCGGAGGTAGATGTGATGCTGATAAATAACATCCATCAACACAGAGAGGGAAGAAAAACAAAGAAATATCTCCTTGAGACTTGACTAGTTTTTGCTAAATGGCACACTTATGTTTTACAACATAAGTATCACTTTGCGTTAATTATGACAACCTATCTAGGCTTGGAGTTTATTTTAAAAGCATAAATTCCTGATGATCTGACTGGAAGTTGAGGAAGGTGAGGGTAAAACCCAGCGATAGTGTCTGTTTCTGCCTACATGAGGGTGTCTTTTAACGTGCCCAAGATCCTAATCCGTTACATACCCAGGACACATGGAGACCCTTCTGTTCTTCCTCTCTAACAACATCCTTACTGTTCTTGTAGGATAAGCTTCTGGCTTAATTTGTGTCTGCACAGGAATCTGTGACAATTTTACTGGTTGAGTGTGAGATGATATCTCTATTCTCACACAGATGTAAAGGATTAAATCTGCTTGAGAGTTCTGCAGCAATCATCTAATGACAAAAAAAAGAAAGCCAGTTTAGAAATGAGTTTAAAAGAATAATAATAACTCACTGAAATGTTTTTTTCTATCAACAACTTCATGTTCTTTCAGTTTATGTGAGAGACACAAGATGTCAAAAAGAAAAGAAGAAAACACTTGTTCAAATCCTTCATTCTACAGTACAGTTTATGGAATTAAAGATAAAGATGATGGTGCCTGACCTCATCATAAAACTCTGGACTCTGGTTGTGGTGCAGGACGGCCGCATAGGTGCTGCTGGTAAAGAGTGAGTCCCCTGGCTTGCCATAGATGCACTGTAAAGTGAGACATTCATTATCATCGGTGGCAAAAAAGTATCCGGCCCTGTTGGATGGTCTGATACTGCAATGAGGATGCAAACATATGTCAACTCTGTGAACAATAACAAGCAATCCTGCGAGGGGAAGGAGCCAATGGATTTAAAATAAGAAATTGCATAAGCAAAGAGCCTGCATGGATATAACAGGCTCTATGCGAGTTAAAATCACAACAAGCTGAATATAAAAAGAAAAGAAGTACAGGAAATACACATATTTTAGCTAAGGTCTGTGTTTGCTGCTTGTAAAGTGGCGCATTTCAGGCAGAACACTGTTTGTGTACCGCCACACAAACACACAACAAAACACATTTGGAGGCCCAAACAGCAGAGGCAGCCTGATGCCAGTCCTGATTACTGGAATCAGGTTGAGGGTTAAGGTGCTGCTAGAGGAACTGCTTCAGATCTTATCATTCAAAGAGAGGCAGTCCTGTGACAACATGTATTGCAAGGAACGCAGGGGCAAGCTTTTCCTATTGATTTGAAGTGATACATGTAGCTAGCTCTATGCCTTTTAAATGTGACAAGAACTAATATAAAAGTTAACGAACAACAGTTAAAGGATTTTAAGCTTTTAAAAAACAGCTGAAGAGTGGAAAAAGAATCAGTACAGAATTAGAAATAGACCTTTGAGGGCCGCAGCCGTAGCCTAATGGCTAGAGCGGGCGGCCCATATACAGAGCCTCTGCTCGTGAGCGGGTGGCCGTGGGTTCGAATCCGGCCCACGGCCCTTTCCCGCAGGTCTCCCCCTCTCTATCTCTGCCCCCTTTCCTGTCAACCTACTGTCATTAAAGGCCACTAGAGCCAAAAAAATCTTTAAAAAAAAAAGAAATAGACCTTTGAACCTACAAGGATTTATTCTAATGTAAAAGCTTCAGGGTGTTCACTTGTATTAGAGTAGAACTGACCTCATTTAAAAATGAAAACAAAGAGTTTTCATGAAAAAAGATAGAAGGTTACCATAGCACAGCACTGATCTGCTGAATGTATTACCATGAAGGCTAAGTGCAATGTTTAATTTAATTAGAGTCTATCCAAAGGACAGAGAGGTTGCTGAACTGGAGCTCAAAAATGTAAAATGGAGGTTTAACACAAAGCTGGACAGTAGAGTTTGAAGGTTTTTGTTTCTGTTTGCTACATTAAATGTATGTATTCCTCTGTGTGATGACACACATAACAGAGTGGGCATTAGTTGCTATGAAGATGGGGCAACCTGAGATCACATACACACGCTGGCAGGATCACTGGCTGGAGGGGGCGAGCCTGCCATTTGTGGTCTGGACGGACCACAAAAACTTAGAGTACATCCGGCAGGCCAAGAGAATGAACTCTCGTCAGGCCAGGTGGACCCTATTTTTGAACAGATTTTCTTTTTCCATCTCTTACAGGCCGGGGTCGAAAAACGTCAAGCCCGATGCCCTTTCCAGGTTGTATGACCCCGAGCCTTTTGCCAAGGATCCCGAACCTATCCTTCCACGGTCCTGTGTGGTCGGAGCGGTAACTTGGCATATAGAAAATGCTGTTAAGCGAGCTAACGGCGTAGCTCCACCACCTAGTGGGTGCCCGGTGGACAGACTGTTTGTCCCGCCTCCGGTGCGCTCGCAGGTGATTCATTGGGCTCACGCATCGCCGCTTTTCTGCCACCCGGGGGTCCGGAGAATTATGTTCACCATCTCCCGGCGGTTCTGGTGGCCATCCATGGAGGTGGAGGTCCGGGAATATGTTGCTGCCTGCCCGGTCTGCGCCCGTAATAAAGCCTCCAACCGACCGCGCTCCGGACTGCTCCAGCCACTGCCAATTCCCTCCCGGCCTTGGTCGGATATCTCTATAGACTTTGTGACGGGGCTCCCAGCGTCTCTGGGAAACACCGTGGTTCGCACTGTAGTGGACCGTTTCTCTAAAATGGTCAGATTCATAGCCCTGCCTAAACTGCCGTCCGCCAAAGAGACGGCGGAGGTACTAATGACTCACGTGTTCCGCATACATGGGTTCCCGAGGGACGTGGTCTCGGACCGGGGACCCCAATTTATTTCTAGGTTTTGGAAGGAGTTCTGCGCCCTGATCGGCGCCAAACCCAGCTTGACGTCGGGCTACCATCCAGAGGCTAACGGGCAGACCGAGCGGCTCAACCAACAACTGGAGACCGGCCTTTGCTGCCTGGTGGCCCAGAACCCGGCAACATGGTCTAAGCACCTGGTCTGGGTCGAGTTCGCCCACAACTCTCTGCTGACGTCCGCCACAGGTTTCACGCCTTTTAAGTGTGTTTATGGCTATGACCCCTCTCTGTTCCCAGCTCAGGAGCGCGAGATCATGGTTCCCTCAGCCCATGCCCTAATCCGACGATGCCGCCGCATCTGGGCAGCAGCCCGACTGGTCCTATCACGGCAGGGGGACCGGGTTAAAAGAACAGCGGACCGTCGACGGAGACCGGCCCCTGAATACCGGCCCGGCCAAAGGGTGTGGCTGTCCACGAGGGACTTGCGCCTGCGGGGTGAGTCCCGTAAACTGGCCCCACGCTTCGTAGGGACCCTTCCCCATCGCCAAGGTCATCAACCCGGCAGCGGTGAGACTGCGCCTCCCTCGGTCCCTCCGCATTCACCCAACGTTCCACGTCAGTCAAGTCAAGCCCACCCAGGAAAGCCCCCTAGTTCCCCCGACGCCCGCCCCGCCTCCCCCGGAGATCGTAGACGGAGGCCCCGTCTACAAGGTCAAGAAACTCCTGGCCGTGCGCCGCAGGGGTCGGGGCCGGCAGTTCCTGGTAGACTGGGAGGGGTACGGCCCGGAGGAGAGGCTCTGGGTCCCCTCCCGGCACATCTTGGACCGCTCCCTCATCGAGGAGTTCTACAGAGACCACCCTGATGAACCTGGGCCGTCAGGAGTCGGCCCTTGAGGGGGGGGTTCTGTCACAAAGGTGTCCTGGTTGAGGGGTTTTTGTCTCGTCTTTTTCTAGTCTTGTCATTTCCTGTTTTATTTTGAAGAATAACCCTCATCTCGTTTCAGGTCACTTGCACTTCCTGTTGTGTCACCAGTCTGAGCGTCTCCCTGATTACCTATTGTCTGCACCTGGGCATCCCTTCCCTCTCGTGGTCAAATAGTCCTCGTCTCCCCTTGTCCCGTGCCAGTGTGTTTCGTTCCCAACCACAGAGCCTGTCTTGTCCATAGTTCCCTCGTCATAGAAACCGTCATAGTTCCCGTTCCTTGCCTTTTGAGCCCCCTTCGTTTTTGCCTCTTTAATGAGTGCTTTTCTGTTCCTCCTAGACGTCATATTCCTAGTGAGTATTTTGTTGTTACCTTGTTCCCGTCTTGCCTCCTTGTGAGAGATTTACTTTGTTACTTTTGCAGCTTTGTTTTGTAACTTTTCCACAGCCTCGGTTCGAGAGCCATTTCTGTTGTACTTTGTCCTCCGTTTCTGGAGCGATTTATGTTTGTTTTTGTCCACTCCTTTTGAGTGCGCTTTTGTTAATAAACTTTGGATTTTTTTAATCAACTCTGCTCCTGAGTCCTCGTGAGTCCACGACCGTGTCATGTGGTGTCAACTAAAAAAAGAAAGATACAAAAAAACAACTAAAAGCAGGATGGTCTGCATGTTTACTTCATGGCTCCACTCAATTATCACCTTTTAGATACCTATTCTAAAAAGTCCAAAGTGAATATCGTCATAGGAAAATTTGTCTCATTTAAACCCACAATCTTCCTGAGTTTCAAGAAACAATGATAAAATCTACTGCTGGCCCCTGTACACCATTTGTAAACAACATTCTGCTTCAGTCTAGTTCATGTACAATTCTATAGAGATTCTGATCATTGTCTGTAGGAGCATCACAGCAGAGATATTGTACACATGATGGCTGGTTCTTGTGTCCAAACTGTCCCCATTAAAGTTGAGCAAGAATGTTTTGTAAAAGTTTTTCTGAGTTGCTTGCTAACTCTGGAAAACTAAAATGAAAAAAAAAATGTGGCTTTTTGATAACGTTTTTAAGCCACAAATATCTGACGTCTGGCAAAGTCGAGAAAAATTTAAAAGTGTGACCATTCATTATCGATGCCTTCTAGCTATATTAACCAGTTCAGGTAAAATTCCACATTTTCTGGAAAGTAAGCTGCTTTCTGTCCTCCACTTTGTAAGAAGCATTAATAAGGAAAATTGGTCCTTTTAGAGGTCTCTGGCCTTTTTTCAGGAAATTATCTGAGGCATCTAGAGTATGATCCAGCATTCAATTAAATTAAAGGCCTCTTTTGACATAAAGCACACCTGAAAGATTTTACAACCAAGTAACGTTGGAAATATATTCTGTATGGTGTCAGTCAGGCAGTCAAGTTGCTTCTTCACTTGTAGAGCTAAAACCCTCACATTCTATTTATTAGCTTTTCTGATTTGCTCAGTGCTCATTCTAAAAGGAATAGCACCAAGGTTTCATAATATTATATGGCGCAGATGCAATGATTCCCAAAACAATATTCAATATGTGCGGGTGCTTTGTACTGGTTTTCTTATATAGTGTTAATGGTCATGTATCATTTAAACCAGCGTCACTCATAAAAATCAGCAACTTTATAATCAAAAAGAAAATACAAATCTGGATATTAAGCAAGTGTAATAGCATGTTATTGAAAACTGTCTCATTGTTTATATTCTAAAAACTGTATTTAGAATTTCATATTGTTTGGAAAATCCTTTTTGACTTAATAGTAAACTAACTCCATCATCAAAAGATATTTCACGGGATATATTATAGAATTTTACCAAGTACAATCTTGAATTATTTCAGTTAGAAACATAATCTGGATATATTGTAAACCTAACTCACCTTCAAGAGGGCTGCTCCTTCCTCATCTGAATCTCTGAATTGTATGTAGACAGCAATATTTCTAGCCTAATGTAGAGGACAAATTACATCAATCGAGCAAATTATACCAAGTGAACTCTTGAGTTCAATCTGTCATTTGTGCTTAAGACAGCAATAAAAGACTGTTATGCTCTTTGGCCATGGTCCTCAATCACAGGATCCTACAGAACCACACACCTTAGTGAAGGTTTTCTGGCATTCATATTTGAGCTGCAAAGGATAGATGTAGAGTTGGTTCTTGTAGGTAGTGAAGGGGTAGTTGTACTTGGCTTCATCTGGGAGGAACTCCTCGATCTCTACTGACACCCGCTCGCATCCCTCTTCAAACGGCTTGACAGGAATATAAGATGATGTCACTGTATCTGTGGTAAAAAAATGTGTTAGAGAAACATAAGCCGCTTCCTTGAACAAACTCGTTACTTTTTTGAAAATCAAATTTGAACACCTTAGAGTCACGCACGCACAAAAAAAATGATAGAAATGAAGTCATTTTAACCAATTTTTGGCAAACTCTCCTGTCCTCAATGACTCAAACTTGATTTTGTGATATTCAGCCTCCCAAATTTTCTCCTACCGTAACATCCTCTGGATAATTACATAGGAATGTTTGGTGCAACGTCCAATTGCATTGAAAAAAGTGCTTATTGACCCATGCGTGTGTGAGCTATCCCCTCATCATCCCTACAGGTCATGTATTCGGAAAAGAGCAGACCTGTTTAGAAAAAATGGTGTTCCATAAATGTGTGGGTGTCCGCTTAACTGAGCTCACAATCAGTATCAGGGAGCCTCTTCCTTTTATTCTCATTAATCTCAGGCATTTAAGTGTGTATCTCTTGAGGCACAGATAGGCCACGTGTCGTTTTTCATAAAAAGTTCCCCTTAAACTAAGTCACTGTTTAAAAACTATGAGTCATATCTAAACAAGTAGTGTACCATGAGCTCCGGAAGGCATTCAGGATATGCTTAGTGCCTTTAATTTTATATGAACATTTTTTTTTTTTACATTCTAAATATGCACCTTTTCTGGTCTCCATTTTTCAATCTGATATTTAACATTGAGGCCAATGTCAAGACTTAATCAGTTGAAAGAGGACAAGAATTATAATTAAATTATACTTTTAGGGCATCAATTTTATATGAATGTTGAAGGATGTGAAACAAAGCTGATTGAAGATTGTTCTGAATCACAAAATTTTGCTTAAGAAGCTAGAGTGTCACATGACCCCTTTGATCTCTCCACTCTAACTTATGTTACTGAATTACTGAACTGCCTGCAATAAAATCCCAGATAATACAGAAAACATAATCAGTACCATGTTTTAATTCGGAAGCATGGCAGCTCTTCAAGAGACTGAAAGACTATTTGGCATAAAGAGAGAGTAGAAGTAACAACATACTTGACAAATCAGGTGGCACACATTCAATGGTGACATTCAGCTGTCCAGGGATAGTCTGAGGTTTGCTCTTCTCGGGTCTGACGGGGAAGAACAAATTATAAATGTGAAGAAGACACAATGAAAAGAAAACGTTTAGCACTTCTTACATGTAAAATATATACTTCAAAGGAATGACTATTACCACCCCACCTGTCAAAACTGAACCACAGCATAAGTGCTGATTACTCACTTCCTGATGTCGGCCAGCATCTTGATAAGGTCATCTGTGGAGATTTTGTTGCTGTCCTGACGATAGAGAGGAGAAAATTTTCCATCCATGTCCAGGCTGCCCAGAGCATCTTTGAACACCTGCCTGAATCAGATCACACAGGGAAACAGTGTTCATCACAGATACTGTAGAGAAAATGCTAACATTTTTAGTCAGTTAAGTCATCAGGTCAAAGGTGGCATTCTCTTAGAAAGTAAGTTACATGGAATATTTTGAGGCAAAACTGCTTTTTGGGTGCACATGCTTCTGTTTAGTGTGATCAATGATCTTAGTAATATGTTAACATGATGTCCACTTCATTCAAACAATAATTTATGTATGAACTCCCCCTTTCTCCATTACTGTTATGCTTTCTTGTGTACCTGCAGAATGTGTGTTGTTGTTTTTGTGAGTTGATCAGATGTAAGTTTATTTCACAAACAGATGATGGACTGAGGACCACAACAGGAAGTCCTGTCCTGTACCAGATCCCTTGCAATGAATAACCTTTTAGAGGAAAGTTTTTTAAAAAATGTATATGGATTTTAAAAAGTTGTATTAAACTAATATAATTTTCTTTCCATACTGTCCATCCATTCCGAAGAATTAAAAGGATGTAGAAGCTGATCTACATTTCTCCGTTCTAAAATCCAATTCATATTCTTAAATTATTGATATCATTACATGTCTGTGTGTGGGATTCAACACTTAATCCAAACGGCTACATTGATATTTTGACTTAAAAAATTATTCCTCTTACTTAGCTGCCCAAGCAAATGGCATCCTGTACTGGCCGAGGCGTTGACATGTCTGTTTGGCAGCTTTAAGCACCTTTTGGGCTGTCTGTAGCGACGGGGGGGAAGGCACATAGCAAACAGGAAATCAAAATCAGAGCAGCTTTTGGATATTGTTGTAATATGTATCTATAAATGTGGTGAAAATAAAAAAGGCGTGAACCTTGTTGACATCAGAAGCCTTGATGTAAGGCTCAGCACAGTGTGTGATGCCATTCTGCAATACCTTCTCCACACGGGCTACTAGGAAGATATCTGCATGGGGGTTGGTCACTGAAAAGATAGCCTTAAACAGAAAGGGAGAAAAAAAATTATGAAAACTGCAAGTTTTAGGATAGATTGACCTAGTATCCATAGACTGTAAAATTAAAGTTTGTTATTAAGACACTCTTTTAGGTACTTTTAACCTTGAAAATGAGAGCTGCTAACTTGATGGATACATAGATCACAAGGGAAACATCTTTAAAAAACTAGATGTTACTAGCAATCTATTTAAAGATGCATTTCATTCTTTAATTCATGCCCTGGTTTAGTGAGAAGCCAGTGCAGGGGAAGTTGCTGAGGCTATACAAGATAACCCCTTTGGTCTAAGTCTATTTTTGGTCTGGTGTGAAAGAGCTGTGTTTTAACTTCAAGTGTCATTTAAAACCAACAAACTAAATTAAACTAAAATCAAATACAGGCTGGCCATATTTATGCACATTTATCAATACACTGATAAACATCTGTAGAAGTTCCACAGAACAGAAGCACAAGTAAACTGAAGCTTAATTTATGGAAATCAAATAGAGCAGCCTGGACAGGAACAGGAATTGAGCTATGATAACATCAAGATAGCAACAAATGTCCTAAACAGTTTATCAATGCCGCAATTCTCACTCAAAAAGACAAACAAGCAGTGAGTCAGGCAAATAACAGCTGGATTACACTCCAAATTTCCAATCTATCCAAATTCCTTTGCCTTCATTTACTCATCTTCATAGCCCTGACAAAAACACACAGATTGATTTGGTTTCCATGTTCCTCATCACAATTTTTTTTGTTTACAACCAATTACCATTCACTTTTAATAGTGTGTTTTAAAAAGCTTGTAAATGCAACATTCAGAAATGATTCTGCCTGAAATATTTTGCATCACCATTTTTTAAACAGAGCTGAAAATGCTGAATCAACACAAATGTATTAAATTAGTTACTGGTACAGATTATTCCTTGGAGTCACTGCTGATGCAGTGGAGAAATGGAGGAGGTAGAGACTGAGCTGTTGGACTACACCCATCCATACATCCAGCCATCCATTATTTATTCCTCTTATTTCAAGTAGGGTTTTGGGGGGGGCTAGAACCTATCCCATCTGGCTTTGGGCGAGAGGAAGGGTCCACTGGACAGGTTGACAGTGTACTACACCCAGCGCACCTAAATCAAACTGTGGTCTTCCATGGTCTACAACAGAAATCTAACTACAGAGAGTTAGCATTCATGTGATGAATGTGGGGGCTAAGTCTGTCTAGTTGGTGTGAAGCTCTCACAGATGCTGGATGTTTTACATTTAGTCCATAAAGTAAATATATTAAACTCTGGCTTTAGCACTTGATTAGAACCTCACCTTAACTTTTGCTTTTCAACCTGCAACCTTAAAAGTGCACTCATAATTTCTGCCTTGGATAAGGAAAATGTGCACCTGAGTAACAGCTGCTAATATACCTAAGAAGGACCTAAGTATGGTATACTTAGGTCCTGCAGTGTGAATTCATCACATGAAAGGGCCAAGGGACTAGATGTTATGAACAGATTAATTGTGTGTTGATTTGACAACACCAGCAGATATGTAAACAAACCTGAGCCAAAAATGACACTCACATGTTGGCTTTCTTTTCCCTGCTATACTAACACCAGATTTACAGTGGATATCGAAAAAGCCATTCTTCATCCAATTTGAGTTCAAAAGTCTGTACTACAGATTCAGCATGTAGAGAGGGGAAAGGCAGGATAATGGGGACAGCTGCAGTAAGCACATACAATCCCAGCAATGTTACACAAACAGACAGTTTGGCAGTTTGTTTCCCTTCAGTACTGTATGAGGAAGGTTCACTAGACAAGACAGAAAACATGGAAAATTAAGGAAAACCTACCAGTGATGACCATTTCACCCATAAACCACCTTGCAAAGTTACATAAGTTTAGGTATCAACAACCTAAATTTCCTTGTATCAAAAAATATTGTGGGATCTTTTCGTCTTTGAGACTCTGAATTGTGGGTGTGTAAGGGGACCATGAACCGAAAAAACAAACAACACAATGCTAGTTTGTTTTTACAGTACAGTAACAGTTTTCTGTAAAATCATCTATCCTCATTCAAGCCTGAAACTCACAGCTGTAGCTCAACAGCTGTTCTCCTGTTTTTTGCTTTTTTTAATAACAGTATCAAAATGTAGCACTACAAGCTACTATTACAAAAACAAAATGACAGAAATTTGTATTTAATAAGGCAACTCTTAGTTTCATTCATTTTTTACGGTAATGTTAAAAACCTATGCTTATATCGACAAACTGCACAAATAATTAGGATCCCTGTTTACCAATATGATGGAGGAATTATGGCACAAATTACTCTTATCTTTGGTGTAACGGCCCTGACTTGCATAACAGACTTTCCTTTAAACATGGATCAGTACTAAATGAGTTCACATGCTAGGTACTGTTTGCTTTCTGAAATAGTATAATGTCCTACAAGAGTTTCTATATCCACTCTATCATTTAAAAGGAAGAAGCCTTTATTGCAGCATCCTTCAGGTATCCATTAGGCAAGTGGTAAGGTACACTAATTTAAACAGCAATTTTAAAGAAAAGTTTTAAAAGAAAATAAGAAAAACGTGGAAAAATCAAAAACTTATTTTTTTCAATTATTTGCACAAAATTACTTTCACCAAGACTTATTTGGATTTGGAAAAAACCCATCCTATGTGTGATCATTCACTTCACACAAACATCTTCTAGAATCTTGTTTTTGATTAAGTCTACCTTTGTCAAAATCTGATTTCTGTAGTTTTACATTTCAAATTTCTAAATTCTAATATGCTTTATATTAAAAAAAAAAGTCACACTGATTTACACGTTTAAGCTTCACACCCCTTTCTTAGTCGTTTTCTCAGCCAAAAAAGTTTTTCTATACCGTAAAGTTAATACCTGTGTGGGGAAGCGCAGCAGATTCTCTGACACCCTCTCTAGAACAGGTAGGCCATTGCTTTTGCTTGAGTCTCCATTCACTATCACCCCTCCACTTCTCATTGCCTGACTCACTCCAGGTCCACCTTCATCATCCAATTCAGATGAAGGAGTGATTTGGGGCGAAGTGTCTTTCAGCATCTCCCGAACACATGGTGGGTTCATGTCAACATGGAAGTCAGCCGAGATTTTGCAGCTCTTGGAAATGTCAAACAATGCAAGGCTGATGAAAAATGGTTCCATCTAAGATTCAACAGGAACATTAAAAACTGTCAGAACTTCACAATGTCAGTTAACATTTACCTCACTTTACCTCGTCACACTCAAGACAGAAGTTGACCACTTTCCCATGAAGCTGTTTTCAAGTACAGGAAGCTTAAAACTTTAGTGTGCAGTCATATGCGAAGGATTTGTGGAGTGACATGTACAGCATTGTGTTAAAAAAAAATCTTGACAGCAAATATTTCCTACAACATGTTCCTTTGCCCACATGTTCCTGACAGACTTCTCATTTATACCACTATGGAAAAGTAAACATTCATAAATGGAAAAATGAAGGAAAGAGGGTGAGTTTGTGCTTACTTTTGTTTGTTTTCAAGTGCTTTAGATATGTTTGTGATCACTTCCCAATGTAAATGTGAAGTGAAGTTTTAACTTGAATGGTATATCCATAAAAATGTATTTATAAAGACAGACTATTCCATCTGTGTTTTCCTGCCAAGACAAGCTGAGGCACTGAAATGCATTAAATCATTCAAATTACTGATGCAGAATTAGGGTGATGGCCTACGTTGGTGAGGATGCCATCAGCCTTCTCGTTAACACAGCCCTGCAGATTGAAAGTGAGGTCATGGCAGCTGACCATGATGCGTCGGCCAAAACGCTCCTCAAAAGGTTTCACGTCTGGCTCAATGCCAGAGAAGTCCAGCTTCTAGATATGAGACAAGAGACAAAGGGGGAGAGAAGAAGAGAGTCGTGTACATGGTTAGAAGAACAACGTATATTTAAAATGACAGGATCAATTGTCAAATAACATAAGAAAAGCTAAGTGCTAAAGGAAGACTGTTTTTTACCTGTGTTTCAGGGTCCAGGGAAAAAAGTTTTTGTCTGCCCTCATTTCTATTGATCTTATTGAGCTGGTCCGTTTCCCTCATATACTGCAAACAACAAAGAAGTGTACAGAAGTGTGATTTGATTAGTGTTTTATTAATCTTTTGAAAAATACATTCACTTTTAATTCAACCTTTAAATACCCCTTTCTAACCATTTTCTAAGCTTAAAATGATTCAAATTTTAGAGAAAAGCAAACAGTAACTTAAAAAGGAAGCTCACAATATAATGGATTGTGGAGCAAGAAAAAAATGTGCACACAAGACTTTTTAGAAAGTCAGAAATAGTTAACAGACAAAGGGAAGAAACCGCATTTTGTCCAGACAATCAATTTAAACCCTCAGTTCAAGGTGAGTGCCCTAATCCATGTCTGCTCTCTCTGTACACACTTTTGTCTTTTACATAAATGGAGGAAAACGTTTTCTTAAAGGTCCAAAGTAAACTGATGTCAACAGCAGCACAGAGTACAGAACTTTGTTGTCAACAGCCTTTGTTGTCAGTGTCTAGTTCTGGGTTTGATATCTTTTAAAAGCAGTAGTGTGTGTGAAACAAACACTGTTGCTGCCAAGCTTTTTACCCATGTTTTCATTTTATTACTATCATCTGCCACAGTTTTGTAGCGATGTGTGACAAAAAATACTGCCCAAATTAATAACAATTATATTTATTAAACCATGACAATCATAGAGATAAGCATAAAATGTAACACTTTTTCATGTTTTGATCATACCTTCAAGAGTTCACTGTGTAAGTTCCGCCCCTGACTCTCCTGCAAGCTCTCACCTTTACCTTGGCTAGAAGTGTCATCATCTGGCAAAAAACAAAGATAGCAGAAGCATAAGCAGAATCAATTATCATAAAGAACACCTGACATTAGAAAAAAAAACAAGTCAGCAGCAATAAAGCTCTTCTAACTTTGTGTGATCCATAGGTGTTTCTTTGTGAGTGCCTGAATCTTTTGTCTCCTCTGATTGATATGCTACCATTGCCAAATGAAAGAGAAAAAAAGCAGGCCGGGACATTTTGCTGACCCTAAGGACAGATAACCAGTGTACAAAGTAAAGTAATCCAGAGCCTTTCAGGACAGTTTCCCTTATCAGCAACAAGGAGGCATCTGACCAAGCCTGGTTTCTACGGTTTCACTGAATTATCCTACAAAGTGCTGGCAGGTTGTACGCAGAGTGACTAAATACTGCTTGTACCCATCCCAAATTAAACCCACAAAACTGGTTCAAGGATTTCCCTACAAAAGAAACATAATCAGAACATTATAAATCTTCAGATGCAACTTTGACTTACTTATATCTTAATGTTAACATATTCTAGATGTGACATTTCTGCATAGACAAAAGCTACAGATGTAATGTTTATCCTATTAACTGTGTATATCAATTAACTTTGTAATCCAAAGTAATATCACATCACAGTTCTATATTCATAGAACCAGGTAGACTACAATAAATCTAAGTACCTTAACTTTAGGATCAGCATCATTCTCTGTGAAAAAAAAAAACATGACTAGAAATTCAACCCTAAAAACTCTAAATACAAAATTGCCTAACAGTTGAACCAGGCTCATACATCTCCGTAGCATTAAGATATGGGTGTAGAGCTAACCTGCAGCAAAGTCCAGAGACTCTGCTCCATTCTTCTTGTCCTGGCTGAGTTCTGTGCTGCTCTGCAGAGCTTGTTTGAGTGTGGCCACCCAGTCTTCCATTTCTGCCTCACTGTCTGCAGCCAAAAAATGGCTGTAGCGGTCTTGCATCTTGAGCTCAAAACCATTGCGTCGCATTTTAGGACTCTGAGGAAGTGATAAGACTTTTTTTAAAGATATTTTGCAAGCAAGTGAACAGTACAACAGAATAGAGCATAAAAAGAAAATTATTATTATGGCACAATTTCTTAAAAAGGGTTGTTTTAACAACAAAATGGCTACCCAAAAATGAGGGATCAGACAAAGTGCGGTCCTCATAATGAGTGACATAAATGGAAACAGTGTTTCCTCGTCCAGACGTGGGTCACCAGGGCCCCATTCTGGAGCCAGTCCTGGAGATAGGGCATGCTGGCAAGTGTCTGCCAAGCGTCTGGTGGCCATGCTTTCACAATAGGAGCCTGTCCGGGCATAGCTCAAATATGAAACATGGGTCCCCGTTCGGATGGACTCACCACCGTGGAGTCCATTCCCCGGGAACTTCATGTTCTGCAGGGGGACTACAATGCTCACTTGGGCACTGGCCATGTTACTTGGAAGGGTGTGGTGTGGAGTGGGAGAATTCATAATCCACAACTGAAGTTAAGCATGGGCTTCTACATCAAACTCATTAAAAAATATGACACTCTTCTCTGCTGGTTAATCTACTGCTCATCAAACTGAAAGCTCCCTGGCAGCCTTGCCGGTCCGCTCAGATACAAATGAGCCATGAGCCAGCAGTAGAAGGCTAACAATCCATTAGACAAAGTAGTTTTTTTATTTTACCAAGTCAGCTGAGTGCAGTAAATCAGCTCCAATAAAAGTTCCAAAAAAGCCCCCGCATGAGTCGACACCATGAATTACATTGATTTCCGTGGGAGTGGAAGTACAGGCCAAAAACAAAAAAAAAAACACACTGAGTACTTAAACGATGTACTCAGAAAAAGTATCACCAAAAAATAAATAGATAAAACATTGTGCTGTCTGTAAAATGAAGAGAATCTGAACATTATCTGAACATTTATTAGATTTCTGCCCCAAGTTAACCTGAACAACATCTATACAGGAGTCGAGATAGATGGAGCCCTTTGTTTCCTTGCAGTTCTTCTCATCCTTGTACGAGTTGAGTATGTAAGAACCATCAGGGAGCTGAGACAGGTAGAAGTACCTTCTTTTGAAAACCTGTAAGTCACAGCAAATAAAGACTGGAATGCTTAACAACTCAGTATTCTAGAGTATAGAAAAGTTGTTTCAGAATCAGAATCAGAAATCAGAATCAGAAATACTTTAATAATCCCAGAGGGAAATTATTTTTGTTACTCGCTCCATAAATAAAACAACAGCAGATACATATATACATTTCTATACATATATACAAAATTCCACATAGAATATAGATAAAAATATACTCAAATAACTATATGTATATATAAAGGTAAAAATAAGTGGTGGTGATAATGTCAATAATTTGTTGACTCTCAGACGGAGTGAATATTATGAATACATGTGGAATTGCTTCAACAACCGATTCTATTTTTAATAGTCATGTTAACATAAGACAATAATAAAGACAAGATAAACTGAATTTGACATAATGCACGGAACTTGTAAGATTTTACGTATAGTCTTTATTCTTTGTATATATTTTTAAAATGTATTCATTATATGATTTTGGTGGATTACACTCTTACAAAAGTTGTAAAGGCACACATGCAGTAATAGTGAAACTTAAATAAAAGCTAGATTTTATTAATGTATCTACAAATGACCAAAGTAGGCCAGTGCCTTTTTATTGCCTGCTTACCTGTACTCTGATCGCTATATATTGAGCTTTCATAGGTTGCTGCTAAGTTATAAAAACTGACAGGAGGTCAGGTGGAGACTCACCCTCATGGAAACAGACAAACTGCTGTTGATGTTGGCTTTCTGAAGCCAGCCCTGCTTCATGATACCACCCTTCTGGGAGCACAGTGACGATGTATCCTGACAAACAAAAACATTAACATTATTCACCATACTATGACAGTATTATGACATTACTATCACAGTACTATCACAGTCTCCAGCTCTTTGATTCTGACCCAATTTCCTATAAAAAAATCCTTATATGTGACTGGTTATCAGTGATCATTTCTATCTACACACAAAAATATTATAGCTCCATAAAAGTAAGGGCCATCAGTTCTGATCATATCGAGCCACATTTTCTTTGATGTCTCATATGAGAGTCATCATTCAGTTCTGCCTAGGTCACCACTCTATCTCAAACTTTAACCATTTTGATTTATTTTTAAGTGATGTTTAAGAGAATACATTTATTATCACAAACACAAAAACACGTGCAAGCTGGGAGTCATGCCTTCAGTTTCTCAAAAAAAAATAAAGTACAATGAAACCTCATTAGCTTAATGCAATACAGGAGCGAGGCAAGCATGCTAAGACGTTGAGGGGATAGGTAGAGGCGACACGCACACTTAAAATTAGTATATTTGTATTGGCCTGTTTTGTATTTCTGTATATCTTTTTGATTCAGAGCTGTTTTTGTCATTCTACTAATAAGATTAAAGGCAACTCATTAAAAGCCTTGCTGATATGGACCTATCTGACCATAAATGGAAGGATTTGTGATTAGCAGACAAATAACCTTCATTGCAGCAATAAATGTGTGTGATTCAACAGCACTCAGGCTAATTCACTCACCTCATCTTTGGAATCTTCATCAATCTCAAAAACGTGAGCTGGAAGTTTGTCTGTCTTGAGGCCTTTGCTTTAAAAAGCCAGAAACATTGTTAATGAATATAATACATTTTCTAACAATTATTTTCCTCATGAATTTAAACTTTATTATTTGGAATCTCTGTGATTCTTTATGTATTTATCTATTTTTATCTATTTATTTTTATGTTCATTACCCCCTACCCATACGAGGGTCTGTATCCCATTCCTAATTATTGTTTCTTCTTCTATTTCTACACTACATGAGCCAGGGTACCTAGCCCGCTTTTAGTGGTGCAGTTAATGGGAGGCTGGGGTAGCTGTATAAAGCGGTCTTGTCGATATAAGACATAGCTGTTGTGAAGAGCAGTTATGGGTGACATTAGGGGAGTGACTCTGGGGTGTTAGTGATCATGGTCTAGCCTCCTGGAAGTGTTGTGAGCCCAACTAGACAAAGCACTGATCAAAGGAGGTTTCCACCTGATGACCCCAATAACATGTTTTTCATCAATGCCAACTGGTTTATATAGGGATCATAGTATTAGAATTTTAATTGTTGAGTTTAGGGAATTATTCACAAGTCTACTCCATTAGTTGCACAAGTTTGTTGTATTTACTTTGACGCTTTAGTTTTGTATCGCAGATACCTTTCAGGAATACATGTTTGCTTTTGTGTCTGTGGGTTGGCAGGGGTTGGGGGTCATTTAGAGATGTAAGGACATGAGATGACTATTTGTAGGTCACCAGGCATCAATATAATGAGACCCAAGTCAATTACTTGAACATCTTAAATAAAGCACAGATGTTCTCAAAGAATGTGTGATGTTGCTTTACATAACTTCTGACCCCCAACTTGAATTTTTCATATATTAACAATCACTTTGTTTTTTCTTACTTTGGCAACATGCGGAAGTCACCAGAATAAGCCTCATATTTGTAGTTGATAACATGCCAGTCGGTGTTGTACATCTTGATGCACTGTAGCAGGTTAACACAGAGAGATGGATTAGTTACAGTTAAAATAACCAAAGGCAGCATGCCAGGAAATACAGTTACATGATGGGTATATTCAAACGGTTGAAATTTTACAACATTATTTTAAACAAAAATAAACACTGCACAGCATAGAATATCTATTCATTCAAAAGCTCATAGAAACACATCAATAACTGAAACATTTTTTCTTCTTCTTATCAATCCCTTTCATTTAAACCATTCTTTATCTGAAGGAATTTAAGCCCACTCCCACGTTGATTCAGTTCATGGTGGTTTGCAGCATGTGTAACAGTGTTTTACCACTCACTCTTCTTTCACGTCACAAGTGTGGCTGCCAGAGAAGATATTTAATCTCTCTCCACCTCACTCATCTACACATCGATTTCTGTAAATAAATTCTGAAATTTTGCTTCTTTGCTCATTTCTTCGTGGTTGCCAATGTCAACCATGAGAAAACACTGATCAGCTTGCATGTTTAAATACAGATTGACATTCATGATTTGCTTTTCATCGACCATTTATGATTGAATTATACATTCTTTATTAGATCGTATAAAATGTTTTATAAATGAGACCCCAGATAATTATTTTCATAATGTTCTGGCATAAAATCATATAATCAACAGAGTATTATTTTTCAGGCCATTAGGCCTATAGCCCTTTTTTTTTAGTATAGAACTTATATAAGCAAACGCATCGTCTATGGTTTAGTAGCATTTACTTATTTTTTGCAAAAAACTTCACTGCTTGTAATGATTCCTTTATAAGAAAAGCAAGTTTGCAAAGAAGCAGAGGACTGTTTGACTTAAACTGTGACTTCTATAGATAGTTTCGACAGTAAATATTGCTTTAATATGGAACAGAAATAACCAAAAATTCTAAGAATGAAAAAATATTGGATCCTTGTTTGCTGACCAAAGCAAGCCTTGTTCAGCTTTAACATTCTCTTTGACAGTTGTTCCATGCTGTATCCCAGTCATGAGAGCTGGCTTATAAGATGTGACATCTGGCAGAGCAGCAGTGTGTTCAAACTGAGAAGTTTGTTTTTCATGGCTAATGTAATATTATGTCTAACTAATATGTACTATGTCTTTCTAAGAAATCCCACTTTTTTTGTTTAGAGATGAACAAAGACAGAGTTGTTTTATTCTTTAATGAGTGGGATATCATTAATAAGATGGTTTCATTTTCTTTACTAGCTTTACTTGATAAAGGATTAGGTGCCACTGTTGTAAATGTGCTCCTAAGTCATACTCAGTGTGACAGTACCTCTTTGGCGAAGAGACTCCTGGCCTCCCTTACTGCATTCTGAGGTACTGAAGGAACAATTGTCCGCCTCTGTCTGGAAATCTGAGACCCCTGCAATCATGCAGACAACGTAAGATACACAGCATCATATACAAATGAAATATTTTTTTTAAATAGCCATTTGTCCTCCCAGAAAATAAGATAAAGGTTAGACACACAGCAACATTTCTCATTTTCATATAACCAGTCTAACCACATGGGGTAACACTACTGTTCCCCAAGCCGTTTTGTATTATTGTAGGTACCAAATTAGATTACTATTGCATATAATTGAACTTAGAAAAAGATGCAATTCTTTCAGCAAAAACAGTGATCAGAGCATTGAAGTCTGATTTCTTGAACAGATTAGCAACGGTATGTAAGTATCGTATTGAAAGTTAAAAATACAATCCCTCTATCCATTTGTCCTATCGCTTAGTCCTAGTATCATAGCGGAGGGCATAGGCCTAACTCTGCTATCATCGGGCGAGAGGCATGGTACACCCTGGACAGGTCGCTAGTCAATCACAGCACCAACCGAGGCACTCACAGTCACTCCGGTGGGCAATTCAAAATAATCACTTAACCTAGCATACATGTTTTTGTACCATTTTATCATTTCCAATTAACTTTACAAAAAGCCTTGACACAGTAATTCATAAAATCTGAATGATGTGAGTAAAAAAGCATAAATCTGAATGGATATACTGTACATCATCTGTGCTACGTCAACGTTAAAGTGTGCCAAATAACTAATTCCTTGTTTCTTTTAAATGTATCAAATGTATATTTTCAAAACAGATGCTAGATTTGATGCAGTGGTCATTAGTTTGCAGGAGATTTAGAAAAGCACGGTGGGGATGCTCTCATATTAAAAACTAAAATAGTCTCAAACGTCTCAAAGTCCATTAGTTTCTTCAAACAGTCAGTGTGTTCAACATATGTTGGCAAAACCATATGACCTTTGAAACAATAAGTATTAGAGGATAAAATAGCTTTACATACTGATAATGCGGACCATTTAAAACAAATAGTTGAAGCAAACCCTCTTAATGGCACATTGATGTGAATCAGTTGTGTTGAGTAGGGAATCTTCTAAAACCTGCAGGCCTTCACAGACCAACTACGGGCACCCCTGGACTAGATGGTCAGTCTAGAATGTTCTGGTATTGAGATAGTTTGATCTTGGATATATGAGCTGTGTATTTTATTAATTGCTACTTTTTTACTTGACAAAATTTGGGAATAATTTGTGATTGATGACCTATCTATGTTTTTCTTGTTATCATGGAATTTCAACCATTTTTGTGACATTCCTCCTTCCCTCTCTAACCAACACATGTTGAAGAGAAGACATTTTATTACTGTAACACCTAGGTCTATATCTAGCAGATCATTACGCTTTTTATGGTTGTAAAAATGTTGCATATCATTACTCTGTACTGGAAATCATTAAAGAGAGATAGTAACACCTCTGGAGACCATTGTCAGAAGCGACAGTTACTATATCCATCCGTGAATAAAGGTTCAAATAAAATCATGGATGTCCGGGAAGAGGAGAGACAGACTGGAGGTTTTAACGATTATAGGTGTGTGATCTGTGTTGTTAAATGGCCATTAGAACATGTGTTAGAATTACATGCGGTACCTTATAATTTGCATACTTTTAGGGAAGTTTAAAGTTGTACGTCTGTAAAGTTTATTTCAGTAATATTACACCAAACCTGCTTCTGTGATTCAGTTACAGAACCATGGTTATCAAAAAAATTAATTGAATAAATCCCTGACAATTTGAAATACCTCAAGGATTTTGGTGTCTTATAAGGAAGCAAAAACATACTTTTTTTTCTTTTTCGGGGGGAAGTGACCAAAAAATATTATGCCTCAAAACCTGAAATAGTAAGATTTCTAAAACACTAGAGCAGAAAGCTGCAACTGTGAGCCATTAGGTCATGTTGACAGTAGTGCACAGAGAGTTTTAAAAAACAAGACTTACTGATACATCATCAACAGGACAGAGCAGCAGGTCTCTGTGTGGATCGCTGTGGATCTGAGCCTTTCTTTGAAAAATCACAGCCTCATAGTCGAGTGGTTCAATGATCTTTGGTTGTTCCTGGAAAGGAATGATCAAAAGGAGAGCAATTTTTGTTATTTCAACCAAAAAAAAGTTAAGACGTAAAATAAGTGAGTTGAAATAGTGCAGTGTATATTATGGTTTATTAGTGCATAAGTGTCCACATTAACAAAAAAAGAAATGCATCACATGCCAACGCTTGATGTGGAAACTTCCTGTTTCAAGTGTCATAGAGAAGTATATGATATAAATGAACATTATGTCTTAAAGGGGTCTGCAGCCTTCCCCAAAGTGAACATGAGATTACTAGTAAGTATCTAAACCATTTAGAAATATTTTAATTTAATTCTAAGAAATTAGCCTCAACTTTAGGCTCAAAACGAGTAGCTTTGCCAAAAAGCTTTGGATAAGCTATTTGGACTCAAGCAAAGGGAATCAAGCTGCATAGAATTGATCAGCCGCTGTGCAATGTTACAGAGTCAACGCCACAGAACCTAATGGCTGCAGGTCACGAGAAGCAAATGAAACTCAGATCGAATTCCACAGCAGGAAGAAAATGACAGTGATTTGTCACCTTGTCATAGTTCCATGTAAGCGATACACAGCTAAGAGGCAGAGCTTTGTTTTTCTAAGTGTGGGAATGGGTGGAGTGATTGGCTTGAAAGGCAGCCATCTGGTTGTTGCCTTTTTTCCTTACTTGAAATGTTCATATGTGCAGCTAAATTATAAATAGAAATCTAAGTTTACTCAATCTTCAAATTCCCAACAGATTTTTTAAAGAAGTTTCATTTATATTTCAAACTATTTAAAAGTAAAAAACATCCAATTTGCTACTGTATTCAGACCCTGTGCAGCAATGCAACAAAGTCACTTTGTGATGGAAATTTCACCCTGTCTATTTGGAAAAGTTTACAGTTTTACGATTATTTGAAAGTTTACAGTTATGAATTAGAACTATCAGAGCACAAATATTTTTAAGTGGCTTTTTAAGAGAAAAGCTATAGCTGTAATGGGTCCTCACTTATTGCTTGGTATTAGCACATGTCAGCTTGCTTGTTGAAATGTAAACCTTCACTGCAGCATGAGCAATATTTTTGTTCCGATCAATCTCTCTCTCTAACCTGACACTTCTCCAAGCCACCCATGCAGATTTACGGCCACTGCATCATACTGCCATCGCCATGTTTGGCTGCATTGGTGTCATTAATAAACCCCTTTTCAGTGGTTGGCTACATTCTGAAAAGATGGTGAATTGTGGCAAAACAGTGACATTACTGTTTATTCATATTAGAAAGATTAGCTACTCGTGGTCCAAGTCATTTGAAAGCCTTGGGCAAAACTTTCTACTGGCTGTCATGTGACTAATAAATTGCTTTTTGTATGAACACTCAACCATGGCTGTCCAGTTGCAACATTTTCTATCTCCTCAATAGAACTCTGGATCTTATTAACTGTGGACATTGATTTGTTTAACTGATCAAGGCCTTTTGTTGTTTAGTTTAGTTGTCATCTATGGAACCACCAGTGCCCATTTGCTACTGTCCAAACTCATTTCTAGCTGATATGTCTGATCATTTCAGAAGGGGTTTGAATAAGTTTTAACATATCAAATGTAAAAGTGTAAGAATATGATGTTATAGTCAGAGGTTCAATTATTTTTTAACATCATGTACTGAGCACAAGTCAATCGAGGAGAGGAAAAGGTTGCTTTTGAGTTTTTTCAACAGATCTGCTCAAATCATTACCCTGAGCACCTATGCTGCCCCTGGACCCAATGCAACTTCTCTGCTTCCTGTCACGTGTAACGAGCTGAACCACAGCACTTCTGTGAGTCAGAGACGATAGTTTGCAGCTCAACATGCAAAACTGATCGTGTAGCAAGAGAAAGGGAGGGACAAGCAAGAAAGAAGAGTACAAATGTAAGCAGGTTCCGCTTTCACCAAACATAGGATCTCAATAACTTAATTTCACATGCAAGCCTTGGGTAAAACTAAAGAGCAATCAAAACACTATTTTGTAAACTTTTACCACATCTTGCACTTGCTTCTCTTAACTATCTGTCTGGATGCAAAACACTCCACTCAACACAAACCTTTCTCCCACAAGGGGACAATGGCAATAGCAGGGCTACATTTCCAGATGTATGTGTCCCATTACAGCTCTGCAGATGTGAGACACTCACTCCTCCAACAAAACCAAGTGGATTGTTTTACTGCTTTGAGTCAACACACAAATTGTGGGCAGCAAGAGTGAATACAGATTGCTCACATGTGATTCAGTCTGAGAAAACCATCTATGAAATAAAATAGACGTAGACTCGACTGATAGCTGTAGTTTTAAAGTGAGAGCAAACACATTTTATCAAGACAGTCGGTCTGACAGAGAATATTGCTGTGCTCAAGTAGCAAGACACAAACATTTTCATCCAAGCATGGTGCATTGGTGTGTAAGGGGCTGCTGATGTGGTTTGTTTTGTTGGCTAAGAGAGCTGCATTTTGAAAAATGCAAGATTTCATTTTATGTTTTTAAGACAATGTAACTGTGAAAATGGTCTTGCACCCTATGCACACACAACCAGACAAATCAGCCAAACAGCTGACAGGGTTTTCTTACTTGCAAATGTTCAGTTAATCAAGTGTATTTGTTAAATACCACATCTCCACAAGGGCCTACTCGGCATGGCACAGCTCTACACAGTATTTTCGCATTTCCACTAGGGTCTGGTCCCACAAAACAGTTCCAAGTTTGGCACCTACTCAGCCAGGGTTCCATCAGGGCTGAATTGGGCCAACGGCAGACTGCCAAGAACTGATTGGCTGGAAAGCCACAAGATTAAAAGGCGACTCAGTCTGGTAAACCCCGCCTATCTTAAATGTGGGGAAAAAACCAAATACCCAATTTCATTATTACTGTGCTCATAAATGTTGTCAATTCCTAATACACAAACCAAAACCGAGATTTAGTGGGATCATAGTTGCTGCAATGTCCTCGATAGTTGTCTTGTGCTTTTGTTCCGTATAAATGACATGACATGCAGGTTGGCCCGTCATTCTGCTCTGCCATAATTTGGAATGGAAAACCAACTAAACTGTGTAGACCTGTGCCAGGTTGAACCATGTAGGGCTGGTTCACTAGGCACTAATAAAAAAAAACGGCATTAGTTCAAAAGCATTTGGCTTCACTTGAGGTTCTATTTACTGAATTGTAATTGTAAAGCCAAATAATGATGATGGTTCTTCATTATGTAATGCAAAGCCTGAGAACTAAAATAGGGTGTTTTTCTTTTTCATAACTGTTGCTGTGTGACATTCGAAGGAACTTGGCTGTCCCTATTTTACTTTATAAGCATGTTGGTAAACTAGCCTGAACTACATATTCATGGTTAAACTTAATGATATATTTGTTAATTGAATATATGTTGTTTATATTATAAACCACATAGCTCAGGCCTGTTTGTTAAGTCTGTAAGAGTTAACAAAACTCTTACAGTTTTCTTACAGGTACTAAAGTTTTCTTATAGGTACTAAAATTAAGATCTTTCTTGGTTGAAGGACAAAATTAAACAGCATCACATAGACTTATGTCAAAATACTTGAGCAAATATGAATAAGGAATTAAGTAACTAACACAGTCACAGAGGAAGTGTGATCATAACATGCCTAGGGGAAACCCCATTTTAGAGTAACATAGGGCATTCTTCCTGCTACAACAAACTCTACAACTCTAAACAAAAGAAAAATCATTCAAAGAAAGAAACATACCTGTACATCGTGGCTATAAACGCAAGTGGATATACAACATTCCAACTTCTGCTGTAAAAATCAGTACCCTATCACATCATGTAAATGGGAAACTCTTCGGGTCACACTCAAGATGGCCATCAAAAATACAGAGACAGACAAAACTCTTCTAGCTCAGCTTTAACAGTAAAAAATGTATACGTTTGGAGTTAAAGATGATTAAATCAAATATTGGTTTGCGTATAACAATGGCCTGTATATAACAAGAAAACAGGATAAAAATATTAAACAAAAAGCATTAAACGTCAATGGTACTTAAAAAACGGATTTAATGCCATTTCACACATATACACAAAAACGCTGTATCAGCAGGCTCCTAAATGCGACTCATCTAAAGCCACTGTGCTTAGTGCCTTGCTACTGCACACTGTTCACTGCCACATTGAGAAACATTAGATTATTTGTCTTGAAGCAATGGTTGCTTTTGACCAATTCATTTTTAAAAGACAAACTAGAGACAGACTGGTCCCCGTCAGCCAACACCGTGACGAGAATAAAGAAAGAGACGCACAAATTGCTCCAACAGAAGAACCGGAAAACCATGCTGCAGCCGTCCAACTAGCACTCGTACTCGTCCAGCAACATACAAAAGGAACTGCACAACGCTGAAAATCCGCACGGGTTCGAAGACAATTGCGCACTATTTTGTGATGGCAGCAATGTAGGACAACAACCACGCAGGGTCAAATATGCAATATATAATCACTCTATGGTGACCAGGCTTACCGTAACATCAGACAGTGTTACGGTAAGCATTTCCACTGCATTCAAAAACACAAACGGCAGTGCAAAGTGAAAGCTATTTGGAACAGTTGATGCACAGCATAACGGAATGTAAGATTACTTAATTAAACAAAAATCAGTGTATGGATAAGGAACACAGACTGGGATGGGGTTGAAGTTAGAACGCAAAGCAGTTTGTTTCACTTTATTTTACAGCTAAAATGACTGCCACCGGTGCACCGACAACTCACCACAACGTCCACGGTGCTCCTCACAGCCTCCGATACACTCTGCCGAACTTCTGCGGCTGTCCCGGGTTTGCTTAGCCTCTTTGTGAATTTTCGAACCTCAGACATCGTGATTCCTTTGTACAATTCTGCTTCTTCTGGCCAGGTGTGAAAATGAGAACGCAGTGGCAGTTCTGAGCCGGAATACGCAGCCAGGCATGAGGTTGCGGTTCACGTAGGAAGGCGGTGCCGTTTCTTCTGCTGCTGCTGCTGCTGCTGATGATGATGGTGGAGGTTGTGATGAAACAAGAGCAGAGATAGGTTAACAATACAAGATGCTTCACTATTACGCACTTCCGTCTCTTCACAAAAATATTTACCAAAAAAGGACTGCAAAGAAGAGATTATTACAATGGAGGAAATTCAATATTATATCTGAATATTTATATAAGTACTCACTCTTTACTCTCGGTGTCCTGTAAGATAAATGTACTTTTTTGCATGTAACATTGCTGTTGACAACTTAAGCTGCAAGTAACGTCCAACATTGTTTTATGCCTTTATTCATTGATTTATTAGTTGTGTGTTATAACAAATAAATTTATATATAACAGTGTTATGATAGACCTTCAACATTTATACCACTCTCCCATCTCGTGGCCGTTACTGCAAAATACAGCAAAACCGCATCATGTTGGTTTAACCCCTAAATGTAGAAACTAGTAATTTGACTTTTATCAATGTTAGTCAAAATCAATTAATGAGTTTGTTTGTTTGTTTTTACATTATTGTGCACAACTTCATAAAAGAGAATCCAGTGAGCATGTATAATTCAGTCTTGTACAACCTCCATAAAACTGTTCAAGTCACCACAAGTGTATGTATTAATGACATAGAATGTAATTTAATTTGAGACCATTGGTGATCAAACTCAAATTTGGTGGAAGGCAAAGACAAGTTATTCAAAGATATTATACCCATTATAAAAAAAACTGTACGGTCCGCAAATCATTGATCACTGATGGTGTCAGCATACGGTATAAAAGGAGCATCCATGTGTAGCCGGCTCTTCCTGCGCCCGCTACTCTCGACTCTGCGTTGTGT